GCCCCGTTCTTGGTTTTCTGTTGAGATGGAGCGTTCCCTTTCCCCGTTTACTGCCTGGCTCGTTTATGGGCATCGGCTGTGGACCAGTGGATTCCGCTGTTCCTCAGCTGAGTTTAGTCAGTACTCGAGAAACAGCCGTCTCGTCTGCAGGTTCACGCACCAGAGGCCTGCAGTGGCCGGGGCCAGAACCCGGAGCTGGGACTCCGTGCAGACCCCCCCGCCGGGGGGTGGCAGGTGCCCGGTGCCCCACCGTCTGCTCCTGTCCTGCTCGCTCCCAGGGTTCGCAGTACAGGGAACTAGGATTTGGAACCAGAGCCGGATTGAACCTGGGCACTCTGAGATGGCACATGGTGTCTTAGCCGGCTTAATTACTGCCATCTTTTTTTAATTTTGATATTTAAATTGTCTCAGATGTGGCCGCCGGAAGCCACTAAGCCGGCCTCTGGGTCCTTTTTGTCTCTTTACACACTTTCCTGCTTTCTGGAACAGAACATTCCAGGCGCATGTGTGCTTTGTGAGCCAGCCTTGGAATGCGCAGGCAGAGGAGCCCTGGCTCGCTCTAGTGGAGCGTGGTGTGGGCCCCAGAACCTCGGAGTGCCCACTTCCCGCTCTGCTCCCTCAGCGGGCAGAGCCGGGACGGTGTGAGGAGCAGGACGCGGGGGTGTGCGAGCTTCCTGCCCACAGCTGTAGTAGGACGTAGAGGTGCGCAGTCGCCCCCGCAGGCACCGCGCCCTCGGCTCTGAACCGAGGCCGTGTGGGCCCAGGCCGTGGGGGTGCGCGGGCGCCCTCAGCTCTGAACCGAGGCTGTGTGGGCCCAGGCCATGGGGGTGCGCGGGTGCCCTCGGCTCTGGGCCGAGGCCGCGGGGGTGCACGGGCGCCCTCGGCTCTGGGCCCAGGCCGCAGGGGTGCGCGGGCGCCCTCGGCTCTGGGCCCAGGCCATGGGGGTGCGCGGGCGCCCTCGGCTCTGTAGCCCCAGCACACCTTGATCCCCGGTTCTCACCCTGGCTCCTCCCCTAGCCTCTCTGTAGGCCAGTTCACCTACGGATCGGGTCGGGTATTTGCTCACCCGTTCTCCAGCCAGGCGGATCCTCTCCTCCCTCGTGAAGGGGATGATGGGAGAAGCCATCCAACAGGTGTCCAGGCGTCTGTGTCCTTGAGTGCGTTAAACGGGAAATATTTTGCGGCCACAAGAGAACGTGTGAGTCCCACCCTGCCCTTCTGTCCCCTTGGATTTGCATCAGGGCAGAGGGAATGCAGGTTCCCGGCTGTCAGGCCCCGCCCTTCTCCCGTGTGCGTGGCTGTTTCTCATTGCGAGACAGGTGACCCTGGCCGCAGACCCGGCCTCTCCCAGGCTGGGAACCTGGGTCTCTGGGAAGGACCGGAGCTAGAGGTCGGCAGTCATTTTCTGGGTGGCTGGCTGAGCACAGGCGCAACGGGAGGGGGTTGGCGCTGTGGTGTGGCAGGTAAAGCCGCCACCTGCAGTGCCGGCATCCCATATGGGCGCCGGTTCAAGCCCTGGCTGCTCCTCTTCCACTCCAGCTCCCTGCCATGGCCTGGGAGGGCAGTGAGTGTTTGGGCCCCTGCCCCCACATGGGAGACCCAAAGGAAGCTCCTGGCTTCAGATCAGCCCAGCTCCAGCCATTGTGGCCATCTGGGGAATGAACCAGCAGATGGAAGACCTCTCTCTCTGTCTCTCCCTCTCTCTGTCTGTAACTCTACCTCTCAAATAAGTTAAACTAAACTTTTTGAAAAAACAAACAAGGCGCTGGTGCCGCGGCTCACTAGGCTAATCCTCCGCCTTGCGGCGCCGGCACACCGGGTTCTAGTCCCAGTCGGGGCCCCGGATTCTGTCCCGGTTGCCCCTCTTCCAGGCCAGCTCTCTGCTGTGGCCAGGGAGTGCAGTGGAGGATGGCCCAAGTGCTTGGGCCCTGCACCCCATGGGAGACCAGGAGAAGTACCTGGCTCCTGGCTTCGGATCAGCGCGAAGCGCCAGCCGCAGCACGCTGGCCGCGGCGGCCATTGGAGTGTGAACCAACGGCAAAAGGAAGACCTTTCTCTGTCTCTCTCTCACTGTCTAACTCTGCCTGTCAAAAACAAAACAAAACAAAACAAAAAAACAAAAACAAACAAACAAAAAAAAAGGCACTGGGAGGGCAGAGGCGTGGATCTGGAGCGGGAGAAAACGTGTACTGGGATTGCCATCGTCATTGGCTTCAGCGGCCAACACGGAGACTTCCGGGACCTCTGATGGCGTGGGGTTCCTCCCCACCAGTGAGCAGCGGACACCTGCTGGGTGTCCCCAGACTCCGTTTAGTCCTGACAGACACTGACCGCCTGGAGGGGGCCTCACAGCCCTCGGTTGAGGCTCGGCCGCCTGGGCTTCAGGTGCCGGCCGCAGGCCCCAGACCGTCTGACCTGCGCCTGGCTGTTAGTTAACCTGCTAGAGTGGTCACAGAATTCAGAGGAGCACTTTCGAGGGCCCACCAGCTGTTACCAGAGAGACCACAGAGGCTGCAGATGAGGAGACACGTGGGGAGGGCACCCTGTCTCCAGGCGCCTCCATGTCGGAGCCCCCGTGTTCTCTGTCCGAAAGCTCTCTGATTCTGCCCTTTTGGCGTTGGTTATTTATATATGTCTTCATTTATTGTAAAGGCGAAATGATGGAGGAGGAGAGAACTAGCTTCCATCTGCTGGTTCACCCCTAAATGGCTGGGGCAGTTGAGCTGGGCCAGGCTCTGCAGCCAGCAACTCCCTCCCCGTCTCCCACATGGGCTGCAGAGCCCAGGCACTGAGGCCTGCCTCCCGGGTGCGTCAGCAGGGAGTGGATAGGGCCTGAACCAGCGCTCCCATGTGGGTGCCCGGGTCACAGGCGGTGACTTACCGCTGGCCCCGTTGAGGTTTTGTGGAGTCTTCTAGGTAAGCATGGCTGAAGCAGGGATAGCCATGCTGAGATGCAGCCGGACATGCGGGCGCGATCCATGCGAGTGGACCGGCCGGGGAAGCCGGCAAGGCGAGCTCCGCACAGAAACCCGGGGGGCATGACAGCTTCTGTCTGCCACCTTGGGGAAGAGTTCGCCTGACCCACCGTGCGGGAGGACTTACAAGCTGGGAGCCGCGGGCAAAACCTAGAGTGGGCGTCGTGGTGCTGCACATGCTTTCCTGGGCTGACAACAGCAGCCCTGGGGCCTGCGGCCCCTGCCCTTTGACCCTAGGTGATGCAGCACCCACACGAGGGCGCCCTGGCCCTGGGCCTGCACAGCAACGTGAAGGACGTCTCCGTGCCCGTGGCGGAAATAAAGATCTACTCGCTGTCCAGCCAGCCCATCGACCACGAGGGGATCAAGTCCAAGCTGTCGGGTGAGACGGGCCTAGTGTGTGCAGAGTCCCTGGGCCGGGGGGCCCTTCCCCACCTCCATCCACCCGGGGAAGGCCGGGCGAGGCGCAGAGCCCCTGCAGCGCGCCGGCAGGGAGAGCCCTGGTGCAGCCCGTCAGGCGCCGCCCGGCGGGGCTCACCGAGCTGTCTCCCCCAGACCGCTCCCCGGACATCGACAACTACTCCGAGGAAGAGGAAGAGAGCTTCTCCTCCGAGCAGGAAGGCAGCGATGACCCCCTGCACGGGCAGGTGACTCCCGCAGCCCTCGCGTGGCGTCGGGGACGCTCCTGGGCTCCCCCGCCTCATCCCACCCCCTGCCCATCAGGACCTGTTCTACGAAGATGAGGACCTGCGGAAAGTGAAGAAGGCCCGGAGGAAGCTGACCTCGGCCTCGGCCATCACGCGGGTGAGCTGCCGAGGCTCGGGGGTGGCTCGCCCGCTGTCTTCAGCTCGGGTTAGGATGGGGCCCGCGTCTCCACACTCACCATCCACGCGTGGCCATCCCCGCCACACCCCGTGCGCCCCATTCCGAGTCACCCTGGTGGGGACCGGCTGTCACTGACAGGTGGTTGCAGGGTAGAGGAAAGGCGGGGAGCCCTCGTTTTAGAGTTGAGCAGGTGGCACGTCCCCAAGGAGAGAGCAGCGGCTCAGACACCTGTGTGCCTCAGGCGCCGCCCTGAATCCCGCTGTCCGTGACCGAGGAAGCCGGTCCGTCCGGGAGCGCCGCACGTCGTGGTCGCTTGTTGAACTCGCCCAGGAGTAACGAGCCAGCTCTCGGGAACTCGCTGGCCCTGGGCTCGATGGGGTCCGGCTGCCATCCGCAGAGCTCCTGCTTCTGCCTCGGTGGTCCCGAGCCTCGCGGACAGGTGCCTCTGGAGCACCCTCTGGCGTGAGGCTTCCGTGAGTCACTGGTTTAAGTTTTAGTTACTTATTTGAGAGGCAGAGAGAGAGAGAGAGGTCTTCCATCTGCTGGTTCACTCCCTAAATGGCCGACAGCTGGAGCTGGGCCAGCCAAAGCCAGGAGCTTCTTCCGGGTCTCCCACACGGGTGCAGGGGCCCAAGCACTTGGGATATCCTTCACCTGCTGTCCCAGGCCACAGCAGAGCTGGATCAGAAGAGGAGCAGCCGGGACTCAAACCGGCACCCGTGTGGGATGCTGACACCGTAGGCAGCAGCTTTACCCACTGCACCACGGGGCCGGCCCCAAGACCCGGATTCCTGAGTGAACCTTAACTGAGCCTGGCGTTCCTGTACTAATGTGTGGGGAGGCCGGATGTGCTGGAGCCCCTGAGAAGGGAGGTTCGCGGTCTGCTTCCTCCCAGCGCTGTGGGTGCAGGCGGAGCAGCCCGTCCCCTCGGGGTGAGGCGTGGGCCGACCTGCCCACGGTGCCCCACTGTGAAGCAAGCCGCTCTCTCGTCTCCCACCCCACGGTGTCGCTGGACTGCGGCGGAATCTCAAGACCAGGCCCTGATGGCGCCTCAATCAGCGAGCAGGGGCCGTGAGAGCTGTTGCCTCCTGCCCAGTGTCCACCCTCGATTGGCTCCAGAGAGCTCCGGCAAGGCCACAGGGCCTGCAGCTGCACCTCCCCCTCGTACCTGCACATGGACGGCAGCTGGAGCCCCCTCTTGCTGCCCGCTCTTCCCGCTGACGCTTTCCTTTTCCTGCCCTGTGACCACAGAGAAGCCCTGATTCCTTCCCGGGGTGCCCCTGGAGCTCCGCGAGCCCCCTCCCCTCCCGACAGGCAGCCCGCGCCCTGCGCCCTGCTAGCATCCGCTTCCCGGGGCTTTTTCATCCAGGCTGCAGGGACGCGGCAGCTGTGTTTTCACACTTCCGTGTCTGCCTCCTCCTAACACGCGTGTTTGTCCCTCACCCCCGGGAACACTTTGTTCCTGACACACTGCTCTCCTTGCTGTTCTCACGGTGCCGTGCCGTCTCGGTCACGGACCTCGAGCCTCTGCCCTGCCCGCGGGCCCTCGAAGGCCCGTCAGTGCGACTGGCAAGTTAGTTGTTCCATGCCCAGATGGCGAGTCCGCTATTCAGGGGAGAAGTGCTCATGGCCACAGGCTAAGCCTTGTGCCAGGAGGTGAGGCCGGTCCTTGCCTCAGGAGCCCAGTATCCGGTGACAGACACATCTCAGCACGTGGCTGCAGCAAAGGGCAGGGGTGGAGGGGCACGGGCAGAGCGTGTGCGGGAGGCAGACAGCAGGAAGGAGGAAGTGGCCTCCCGGGACCTGGACCACCAGGCCAGCTTCGTACAGGAGAGGCCGGGAGACAGGGACAGTGAGAGCTCTCATCAGCTGTTCCCTCCCCTAATGCCCACGCCAGCAGGAGCTGGACCTGTCTGAAGGCAGGAGCCAGGAACTCAGTCCAGATCTCCCATGTGGGTGACGGGGACCCAAGTACTTGAGCCATCGCCTGCTACCTCCCAAGGTCTGCGTTAACTGGAAGCAGGAGTCGGGGCAGAGCCAGCACCGGGGTCTCTGCGCTCTGAGAGGGGTGGGGCATTCCAAGCACCCGCCCTGGGGCTGGCACCGTGGTGCAGTGGGTTAAGCCACCGCCTGTGGCATCGGCATCCCATACGGGCGCCGGTTCAGGTTCCCTCTGCCCCACTTCCGGTCCAGCTTCCTGCTAATGTGCTGGGAAGGCGGTGGGTGATGGCACAGGTGCGTGGTCCCTGCTCCCCCCCCCCCCCCCCCCCCCCCCCCCCGCGAATCTGCTGGAAGTCCAGGCTCCTGGCTTTGGCCTGGCCAGCCTTGACCGTCACAGCCATTTACTGAGTGAACCAAAGGTGGAAGATCTCTTTGTCATTCTGCCTTTCAAATAAATAAAATAGGGAAAAAATTTTAAATTTGCCCTGAGGGTTTTTTGTTCACTTGTTTTTTTTATGATTTAGTTGTGTATTTATTTATTTGAATAAATAAATATTTATTTGGCAGAGAGAAAGGGAGAAAGAGACAATGAAGAGATTGTCCATTCATTGGTTCACTCCCCAGGTGGCTGCAACAGCCAGGCCGAGCCAGGCCGAGCCAGGAGCCAGGAGCTCCGCCAGGTTTCCCACGTGGGCGACGGGGACGCACGTCCTTGAGCTGCCATCTGCTGCCTCCCAAGCTCATCGGCAGGGAGCTGAGTCAGGAGCTGGGCCTCAAACCAGACTCCCACGGGATGGGGCGTCCCACGTGGCTGTGCAGCCCACTACACTAGGGTGCCCACCCCCTTGCCCGAGGTTTTTAAAGATAGAACTTTGCCAGATAGATCTGGGCGGAATTTATCAAGACAGGAGATCCCAGAGAAAAAGGCCCGGTGTCAGAGTAGCGCCATTCAGGTTTTTCTATTTATTTGAAAAGCGGAGTGACTCCTGGTGGGGGGAGGGGCTGAGAGCGCTCTCATCACTGCTTGACTGCCCCGTGGCCGCAGCAGCCCCCATCCCCAGCAGCTGTCCCTGACTGATGCTCCTCCTTTAAAAAACTATTTTTTATTTATTTGAAAGGCAGAGTTACAGAGAGAGGAGGAGAGACAGACAGACAGATTTTCAGTTGGCTGTTTCCCTGCCCAAATGGCTGCAGTGGCCAGGGCTGGGCCAGGCCAAAGCCAGAAGCCAGGAGCTTCATCCTGGTCTCCCACATGAGTGCATGGGTCCAGGGACTGGGCCATCCTCCGCTTCTTTCCCAGGTGCATTAGCAGGGAGCTGGATGAGAATTGGAGCAGCCGGGTCTTGAACCGGCACCCATATGGGGTGGCGGCATCACAGGCAGAGACTCCACCTTCTGCGGCACAGTGCCAGCCCCTGGTGACAGGTTCTGGGTGCTGGAGGGGAGAGCTCCCAGTGTCCTCTCTCCTTACGAGAGTGGACTCAGGGTCTGTGTTGGCCGACTCGGGCTGCCCGCTAGTCGACGCTGCTTGAGAACCGCTGTGCCGTTTGTCCCGTAGCAACCCAACATCAAGCAGAAGTTCGTGGCCCTCCTGAAGCGGTTTAAAGTTTCTGATGAGGTACGGCCCCTTGCCCCCGAGACTGAGGGTGAGTAGAAGTCCCTGGGTTCTGTTCCCGTCCCTGTGTTGCCCTGGGAGGCGGGATCCCCGCAGCACAGTTGCCTGCCCCGCTGTGCGTCCTTAGGAGGCTGTGTGCTGTCCAGAATGATGGAGCTGGCCGTGGTCTCCTTTCCTGGTGTCCACTCCTGGGAGAGGCCCCGGGGAGAGGGTGGCTGAGGAAGGGCGTGGGCTCCTGGGCGGGCAGACGGCTGGGCTGTGTGCACGGTGCTCAGGAGTTTGCAGTACTGGGCGGGGGGGTCGCACAGGTATTGACACCAGACGCGGGGGCGGGGACGCCAGTCACAACGCAGGTGTGGTGCGGTTTGCTTCTCTGGATCCCAGGGGGCGTCCGTGGTGCAGTCGCCAGGGACCGGCGCTGATGGGACAGCACTGTCTGGGGCTCCCGGAGGCTGGCAGCTTACTCAGGCCCTCAGCGGCTGAGGAGGGGAGAAGGTGGAGTTGCTGGGAGAGGCTTTGTCTCCGTGGCGCTGGCCCTGGCCTCTCCTGGACCTGTCTCGGGGAGGCCCGGGGGCATTGGGCTTTTTACCCAGCAGGTGCCTCTGTGGAGCTGAAAGGAGTGGGGGCTGCCAGGGCCAGCTGCAGGGAGCACGAGGAGGCCACACCCCTCCCGGGTGACGCCAGGACTCAGCCTCTAGGGGCGTTTCACGGGGCCCAGCTGGCGTCTGCCCAGGAGAAAGGACTCTGGTCTGCTGCTGCGGCTAGCAGGAAGAACTCCAAATCCGGAGACCCTTCCCTCTGCAGGTGGGCTTTGGGCTGGAGCACGTGTCCAGGGAGCAGATCCGAGAGGTGGAGGAGGACTTGGACGAGCTCTACGACAGCCTGGAGATGTACAACCCCAGCGACAGCGGCCCAGAGATGGAGGAGACCGAGAGCATCCTCAGCACCCCGAAGCCCAAGCTCAAGTGAGCCGGCCTCCCCCGTCAGACTGCCTCCCCGACCTTCCTCCCCGAGCTCAAGTGAGCCGGCCTCCCCCGTCAGACTGCCTCCCCGACCTTCCTCCCCAAGCTCAAGTGAGCCGGCCTCCCCCGTCAGACTGCCTCCCCGACCTTCCTCCCCAAGCTCAAGTGAGCCGGCCTCCCCCGTCAGACTGCCTCCCCGACCTTCCTCCCCAAGCTCAAGTGAGCCGGCCTCCCCCGTCAGACTGCCTCCCCGACCTTCCTCCCCAAGCTCAAGTGAGCCGGCCTCCCCCGTCAGACTGCCTCCCCGACCTTCCTCCCCAAGCTCAAGTGAGCCGGCCTCCCCCATCAGACTGCCTCCCCGACCTTCCTCCCCAAGCTCAAGTGAGCCGGCCTCCCCCGTCAGACTGCCTCCCCGACCTTCCTCCCCAAGCTCAAGTGAGCCGGCCTCCCCCGTCAGACTGCCTCCCCCACTCCTCCCCAAGCTCAGGTGAGCCAGCCTCCCCCGTCAGACTGCCTCCCCGACCTTCCTCCCCAAGCTCAAGTGAGCCGGCCTCCCCCGTCAGACTGCCTCCCCGACCTTCCTCCCCAAGCTCAAGTGAGCCGGCCTCCCCTGTCAGACTGTCTCCCCACCCTTGCCTCCAAGTCAAGTGAGGCCGGCCTCCCCCATCAGACTGTCTCCCTGACCTTCCTCCCCGAGCTCAAGTGAGCCGGCCTCCCCTGTCAGACTGCCTCCCCACCCTTGCCTCCAAGTCAAGTGAGGCCGGCCTCCCCCATCAGACTGCCTCCCTGACCTTCCTCCCTGAGCTCAAGTGAGCTGACCTCCCCTGTCAGACTGCCTCCCCACCCTTGCCTCCAAGTCAAGTGAGGCCGGCCTCCCCCATCAGACTGCCTCCCTGACCTTCCTCCCTGAGCTCAAGTGAGCTGACCTCCCCTGTCAGACTGCCTCCCCCCACTCCTCCCCAAGCTCAAGTGAGCCGGCCTCCCCATCAGACTGCCTCCCCCACTCCTCCCCAGGCCGTTCCTCGTACAACTCTGTTGCCAGAGGGTCTTGGTCCTCCCTTTCGGGACCCCAGCCCCTGGGTGAAGGTCACTGTTGACCCTGAGTCCCCCTGCCTGGCCCCAGCTGAGGGCAGTCGGGGATGGGGCCCTCACCTGCCCGCTGTACCCCGTAGCTCCAGGCATGCACTCCCGCTCGGCCCCTGCTCGGCACCCCCCGGCCCCTGCTCGGCTCCCCCTGGCCCCCCCCTCGGCCCCTGCTCGGCACCCCCTCAGCCCCTCCCCCCCGGCCCCTGCTCAGCACCCCCCGGCCCCTGCTCAGTGCCCCTCGGCTAGCCCCTGCCCCCCGGCACCCCCTAGGCCCCTGCTCGGCACCCCCTCAGCCCCCCTGGCCCCTGCTCGGTCCCCACCGGCCCCTGCTCAGTGCCCCCTCGGTACCCCCCCGGCCCCCCCTGGCACCCCCTCGGCCCCTGCTCGGCCCCCTTCTTGGTCCCCCCCGGCACCCCCTAGGCCCCTGCTCGGCCCCCCCTCAGCCCCCCCCCGGCCCCTGCTCTGCACCCCCCCGGCCCCTGCTCAGTGCCCCCTCGGTACCCCCTTGTCCCCTGCTCGGTTCCCCCCGGCCGCCCCCTCGGCCCCTGCTCGGCCCCCCCTCAGCCCCCCCGGCCCCTGCTCGGCCCCCCCTCAGCCCCCCCGGCCCCTGCTCGGCCCCCCCCGGCCCCTGCTCAGTGCCCCTCGCAGGCGTGCGGAGGCCCGGCTGTCCGTGTCTGGAGCCCGGCCGCCCCCTCGGCCCCTGCTCGGCCCCCCCCGGCCCCTGCTCGGCCCCCCCTCAGCCCCCCCCCGGCCCCTGCTCGGCCCCCCCCGGCCCCTGCTCAGTGCCCCTCGCAGGCGTGCGGAGGCCCGGCTGTCCGTGTCTGGAGCCCGGCCCCGCCTGGCCACCTGATGCGGAGCCGAGGGTGGTGCGCGCTGACCCGGCCCTGCTTCCTGCCGCAGGCCCTTCTTCGAGGGGATGTCGCAGTCCAGCTCGCAGACGGAGATCGGCAGCCTCAACAGCAAGAGCAGCCTGGGGAAGGACACCACCAGCCCTGTGAGCAGCCCGGGGCTCCCGGTGGGGGCAGGGCGGCTGGGGGGGCGTGTGTCTGGCTCTGCTCTTCTTTTTGGCCTGTGCCCACCTGGCAGGGAGTCCCCCGCACACACGTGTAGAGCGGGCGGTCGGCCAGTGGGAAGGGAGTCTGCTGCGGGCTGGGGCAGGAGCAGGTGAGACGGGGCAGGGAAGCCCCTGGCGTCTGTCCAGAGACGGAAAACGGGCTTCAGCGTGGAGAACGCCCTGGAAGGGGTCAGGGTCAGGGTCAGGTTTCCATTTGCCTGGTGAGCAAGAGGGGAGAGCTGCCTGCCGAGACCTAGGGCCCCTCGCCGGGGCGCGGGCCGTGCCTTCCCTTCCAAGGCAAGTGGACGCTGTGCGTGGTTTACTGTTGAAAGCCAGAGTGTGTTTCTGTGGATGAAAAGCCAGATCCTGTAAGTCCTGCTGTGCCTGCTGCTTCAGCGGCAGATGAGGCCGCGTCGTCGTTTGCTCAGCAGAGGGAGTGGAGCCTGCCCTGCAAGTAGGTGTCGCGGGAGCAGGTGCTGTCCTAAGTGTGCGCCACCCTCAGCACCTGCTGGGCGTCCCGCGGCTGCAGTCCTGCCTGCCGCCACCAGGTGGCGCCGTCTCCCAGCCGCTCGCTTCCCGGTGCTGCAGCGCAGGCCCAGGCCCACAGCGTGCAGACCTGCAGCCGGGGTCGCGGTGACCAGGAGCTGCGGCTTCTCGGACTTCAGTGTTCGCGTTTAGGAGGTCGCCTGCAGCTGGCCTGCAGGGGTGCTGCTGAACCATCCCTGTAGGCAGGGCCCATCTTGACTTCTAAGGGACAAGCGCGTCTGGAAAGCAGCGGGGAGGGGGGGGTGCTGCGGGGGGGCCGCCAGGGCTCTGGAGCGAGTGCCGGGTCCAGAGGACGGTCAGCGCGACAGCTGGCTCGCTGTGAACGCCGGGGAGGCTTGGGAAGCCTGCAGCCTGGGGGGCGGGGCCGGCGCCCTGGGTGGGCATCCGGGCCCCAGTGGCCTCAGGGAGACCCCCAGGTGGACTCTCGTCTTCCTGCCAGGGAGACCTGGGGCGAGCAGAGGCAGGGGGTAGAGCGCGCATGTGTGTCTCGGTTTTCCATGCCGGGTTCTTGCCCCCCAGAGCTAAGAACGCGCAGCAGAGGCACAAGTGCAGTGCACACGCGAGGGCAGGAGAGTGACTGCATTCACGCGTGCGTGTGGGCAGCCCACACAGAGGGACGCCTGTTCCCAGTGGGCCGGAGGGCTGCCTGTGAGGGGGCGGGGGGCCAGGAAGCCGAGCAGAAGGGCCATTCCCACGTGGAACCGTCCCCTGTGCAGGGTGGGGTCGCTGCCCTAAGGGGTGCGCAGACGGGGTGGGGTCTGGGGCTTTCCTGGTGCGTGTGTGCCATGACGGCGTCTGGTGCATCATGGGAAAGTGAGCGTGCTGGATTGACAGGGAAGGGGTGGAGTTACAGTGCAGAGCTGCCGGAAGTTGTGGGGGGTCTGCCAGCTCGCTTGTTGCGCTCTGATCTCCCTGCCCCCCCCCCCCCATCACTCCCTCGCGAGGCAGGGCTGGGTTCTGTCAGAGCAGGGGTGGTGCTCAGGACAGGGCCTCATGGCAGTGCACGTGGCGGGCTGCAGGAAAGTATGGTGCCGTCTGGTGCGTGACGGAAGCGGGCTTAGCTGTGTGCTGAGGAGAGGGTGTGCCAGGCCTTGGGCCGTGTTCGGGCTGCACAGAAGGTGGAGGCTGGGCCGTGTGCATGGCTTGGGTGGTGGCCGTGCTCAGCTCCGCGCCCCTCACCCCTGCCTGCCATCCCGTGTCCGTCTCTGCTTCTCACCCAGCTCCTGCTGCTGCCTGGGCCGCGGCGGGTGGAGGCCCCGGCACTCGGGTTCTGCCGCCCCCACGGGAGACGGGTGGAGTTTCAGGCTCCTGACTTCAGCCTGGCTCAGCCCCCAGCCCTTACAGGCGTTTGGGGAGTAAATCAGCAGATGGAAGCTCTGTGTGCGTGCGTGTGTGTGTGTGTGTGTGTATTTCTTTCAAAGTAAAAAGAAAATGAATTTAAAAATTGAGGGGCCGTTGCTGTGGTGTAGTGGGCTAAGCGTGCGCCTGCAGCTTCGGCATCCCATATGGGCACTGGTTGGTGTCCTGGCTGCTCCTCTTCCGATCCAGCTCTCTGCTGTGGCCTGGGAAGGCAGTGGAGGATGGCCCGAGTGCTCGGACCCTGCACCCGCGTGGGAGACCTGGAGAAGGCTGCTGGCTCCCAGCCCAGCTCTGGCTGCAGCAGCCATCTGGGGAGTGAGCCAGTGGGTGGAAGACCTCTCCCTCCGTCTCTCCCTTTCTCTCTCTCTAACGCTGCCTTTCCAATAAATAAAAAGAAATCTTTTTAAAAAGGCAGATTTAGAGAGAAAGCACCCAGACGCTGAGTCTCGTGTGCTTTATTTGCAAAGTAAAGGTGTTGGCGCAGGAGCCCAACTAACTCCAAAAGTCAGTCTTTACAGGGCGATGGCCTGAGAACCCCCGTGGGGGCAAGAAACCACCGAGGGCAAGGCGGGGTGTCTGAGTTTGAATCTCTTCATATTTTTGTAAAATACCGACTTGACTTATTTGAAAGGCAGAGGCTCGGAGCAGAGATCTTCCATCTGTTGGTTTCTCCCCAAGCGGCCACAACAGCCAAAGCCAGGAGTCAGGGACTCCATCCCGGGCCCCAGTGTGGCTGCAGGGGTCCAAGGACTCGGCCACCTTCCTCTGCTTTCCCGGGCCACAGCAGCACACAGCAGGGAGCTGGATCGAAAGTGGAGCAGCCTTCTCTCTCTGTCTCTCTCTCTCACTGTCCACTCTGCCTGTCAAAAAAAAAAAAAAAAAAAAAAAAGAAAGTGGAGCAGCCGAGCCGGCGCCGCGGCTCACTAGGCTAATCCTCCGCCTAGCGGCGCCGGCACACCGGGTTCTAGTCCCGGTCGGGGCGCCGGATTCTGTCCCGGTTGCCCCTCTTCCAGGCCAGCCCTCTGCTGTGGCCAGGGAGTGCAGTGGAGGATGGCCCAGGTGCTTGGGCCCTGCACCCCATGGGAGACCAGGAAAAGCACCTGGCTCCTGGCTCCTGCCATCGGATCAGCGCGGTGCGCCGGCCGCAGCACGCTGGCCGCGGCGGCCATTGGAGGGTGAACCAACGGCAAAGGAAGACCTTTCTCTCTGTCTCTCTCTCTCACTGTCCACTCTGCCTGTAAAAAAAAAAAAAAAAGAAAAAGAAAGTGGAGCAGCCGAGAGGCTCAGACTTGGTACCCAGCACTGCAGGCGGTGGCGTAACTCCCAGCGCCGCGCCCGAGTGTGGACCCTGCCTCTGCCTCTCCCCGACCGGGAGCTCGCCAGGCCTGCATTTTCCTCATCTGCCGAGCGCAGCCAGGTGCCACCCAACGCCACCCCCGGCCCCGGCAGGCCTCGCAAGCACACGGGGCTTCAGGGGGTTCCTGGAGAGCATGGTGAAGCGATGACTGTTTGGGTTCGGACATGTTGAAATCGTGTATACGAGGGGCCTCCAGCACCGGGGACACACAGCGAGGACGCGGCCGGGCCTCCAGCACCGGGGACACGCAGCGAGGACGCGGCCGGGCCTCCAGCACCGGGGACACGCAGCGAGGACGCGGCCGGGCCTCCAGCACCGGGGACACGCAGCGAGGACGTGGCCGGGCCTCCAGCACCGGGGACACGCAGCGAGGACGCGGCCGGGCCTCCAGCACCGTGGCGCCTGCGTGCCGAAGCTGGGTGCTGGGAGCCTGCGTGTTCTGAGAGCTGTCTCAGTTCTGGACTCCGAAAACTGATGGAATCTAGATTTTTTTTTTTTTTTTCAGATTCTGACTTTCAGAATCTGATTCCCTTGGCCGGATTTCAGACTCGTGTTGCTGCTTGTGTGCTGGCATTTCTATTTTGAAGAGCCCATATGTCTTGATGTGGGTGTGAAACTTTGAATCCTTGGGTACAAGAGGCGCCGCGGGAACAGAGCAAGGCTGTGCCCTCAGAGGAAGGACTTCCGCAGGCAGGGCCCTGCCGCCCAGCGTGGGGCCTCGTCCCGACACCCTCGCGGTGTCACTCAGTTTCCCTGAATCTTCCTGTCTGTCCCCCAGATGTGCAGAGGGTTCAGTGTGTCGCTAGGAGCAGGAAGAATTTCAGCCGATACGAACGGCTGCCACGGTTGCATTGTGCCGAGACCCAGGCACAGAGCGGCGCCGCTGGCTGGTCCTCCGAGCTGCTCACCGTAGGCCTGACGGGGCTCCAGTGTCGCTGGCTGGGCCTGCCGCGGCTTGGAGCTGCTTTTCCACCGCACTGTCCCCGGTGTGAGGGAGGCCAGCTTCATAGCAGCTGGAGCCTGCAGATAGCGCCGCTGGCCCCCGTGCGTGAGCCTGCTGGGCAGAGGTCCCCGGAGCCCGGCCAGGGTTCCGGGCTGGAGGTGGAGGGCCCCAGCACTGCTGAAAGCAGGACAGAAGCGTGGGAGAGTGGGCCTCGGCGCCCTGGGGATCGTCTGGGTCACTGCGGGGCTCAGTCAGTGGCCAGCAGTGCCCTCCAGTTCAAGGCAAAGATGAGGGTTTTTTCAAATTTATGTATTTATTTGTTTATTAGTTTGTTTAAAGATTTATTTAGGCCAGCGCCATGGCTCACTAGGCTAATCCTCCACCTGCGGTGCCGGCACACCGGGTTCTAGTCCCGGTCGGGGCACCGGATCCTGTCCCGGTTGCTTCTCTTCCAGGCCAGCTCTCTGCTGTGGCCAGGGAGTGCAGTGGAGGAAGGCCCAAGTGCTTGGGCCCTGCACCCCATGGGAGACCAGGAGAAGCACCTGGCTCCTGCCATCGGATCGGCGCGGTACGCCGGCCGCGGCGGCCATTGGAGGGTGAACCAACGGCAAAGGAAGACCTTTCTCTCAGTCTCTCTCTCTCACTGTCCACTCTGCCTGTCAAAAAAAAAAAAAAAAAAAAGATTTTTTTATGCCGGCGCCACGGCTCACTAGGCTAATCCTCTGCCTGCAGCACCTGCACACTGGGTTCTAGTCCCGGTCGGGGCGCCGGATTCTGTCCCGGTTGCCCCTCTTCCAGGCCAGCTCTCTGCTGTGGCCCGGGAGTGCAGTGGAGGAAGGCCCAAGTGCTTGGGCCCTGCACCCCATGGGAGACCAGGAGGAAGCACCAGGCTCCTGGCTTCAGATCGGCGTGATGCGCCGGCCAGAGCGGCCATTGTGGGGTGAACCAATGGCAGAGGAAGACCTTTCTCTCTGTCTCTCTCTCACTGTCCACTCTGCCTGTTGAAAAATAAATAAATAAAGATTTATTTATCGAAAGGCAGAGTTAGGGAAAGAGAGCGCTCTTCCATCCGCTGATTTACTCCCCAGGTGGCCACGACGGCTGGGGCTCGGCCAGGCTGAGGCCAGGAGCCAGGAGCTTCATCCCAGCCTCCCACGTGGGTGCAGGGGCCAAGCACTTGGGTCATCCTCCACTGCTTCCCAGGTGCATCAGCAGGGAGCTGGGCTGGAAGTGGAGCAGCCAGGACTCAAACCAGTGCCCATACTGTATGCCAGCATTGCAGGTGTTGCCTTAACCCATTATGCCACAATGCCGGCCCCAGATTTGTATATTTATTTTAACTCACAGATAAAATTGTGTATTTGTCATGTACAACTGATGTTTTGAAGTCAAAGATATCAAGAGAGAGATATATTAATTACCTTAATCATTTCATAATGTATACATGTATCAAAATACCATATTACACATTGTAGGTATATACAACTTTTTAAATATTTATTTCAAAGGCACAGCAAAAGAGAATGACTCTTCCATCCACTGGTTCACTTTTTTTTTAAGATTTATTTATTTATCTGAAAGAGTTACACAGGGAGAGAAGGAAAGGCAGAGAGAGAGAGAGAGGTCTTCCATCCGCTGGTTCACTCCCCATTTGGTTGCAACGGCTGGAGCTGTGCTGATCAGGAGCCAGGAGCTTCTTCCAGGTCTCCCATGCAGGTGCAGGGACCCAAGCACTTGGGCCATGTTCCTCTGCTTTCCCAGGCCACAGCAGAGAGCTGGATCGGAAGTGGAGCAGCCGGGACCTGAACCAACACCCATATGGGATGCTGGCACTGCTGGCAGCAGCTTAATCGGCTGCGCCACAGCGCCGGCCCCTGGTTCACTCTTGCAATGGCTGCAACAACCAGGGCTGCACCGGCTGACCAGGGGTTGCAAACTCCCTCTGGGCTTCCCTGTGGGTGATAGGAACTCAGGTACTTGGAGTGGTCATCTGTGTTTTCCCAGGTGCCTCAGCGGGAAGTCGGGAAGGTGGGAAGCAGAGCACCTGCATCCTGAGCTCAATGCGGGATGCTGTTTGCAGAGTGGCCCGAACCCGCTGTGCCACAACGCTGGCCCTTGCAGTTTGTGTTTGCCAGTTGTACCTTGTAACCAGGGCGGGGAAGGGTTCCAGCGAACATCCTGACCTTGCTGTAGCAGCAGTGCCGCGGCCATCCTGGGGCCCGACCGCAGGCTCCTGGACACCTCCCGGCACCACAGAGATTGCACCTGCTCGTTTTCTGCAAAATGTGCTGCGTCCATTTGTCACGCTGAGATCCAAAATGAGTGAAGCCGCCGCGGCTCCTCCAGGAGTCTAGACTCTGTGAACATCGGCTAATCGTGTAGACAGTGTGTAAATGAGCTAGCTGGGCGCCCTGGGCCGACTCCAGACGTGGGGTTGCGGGTGTGGCCAGGTGTGTCGGCAGATGGCTCTGAGCGGTGTTTTCAGCTGGGGTTGGTTTTGCCTCCCAGGGTACATCTGGCAGCGAGTCCAGGTGTGTTAGGTCGTCCCGAATTCTAGGGGTGTGGGGGCGGGGCTGCCATCACTGCTGGTGTGTGGTGGGAGACGCGGGGTCACCACTGAACACCCTGCAGTGCACAGGACTGCCCAACAGCCGAGAATGAGCCATCCCAGACGTCAGCAGGGAGCCTGCTCATGGGGTCTCCGTTTGCCTGTGTCACCCTGAACCTGGTCGCCTGTCGGCCTTCAGTGTAGAAAGTCTTTGAGTTTGGGCTGAAGTGGTGGGACTTCCTGCTTACCTTTTTATTCCCTTGGTTTCCTACGAGGAACAGAGACTCACTAAGGCCAGTGCTTCCCTGCGTCCAAGGCCCAGCCCTCAGCTGCCTGTGACTGGTTTTGGGGTCTGCACAGCCAGAAGCGATCTTAGCAAATTAGGAAAATCTAGCAGTGGACCTGTGGTACAAAGTAGATTTTTAAATATTTATGAGATGCTAATAGTTAGGAACAAATGGAGACTTAATTTTTTAAAGATTTTATTTATTCATTTGAGATGTAGAGTCACAGACAGATGGAGAAACAGCGAGAAAGGTCTTCCATCTACTGGTTCACTCCTCCAAATGGCCACAGCACCCGGAGCTGAGCTGATCAGCAGCCAGGAGCCCCTTCCAGGTTTCCCACGCGGGTACAGGGGCCCAAGCACTTGGGCCATCGTCCACTGCTTTCCCAGGCCACAGCAGAGGGCTGGATCGGAAGAGGAGCAGCCGGGACACAAACTTGTGCCCATTTGGGATGCCGGTGCTGCAGGTTGGGGCTTAGCCACGGCGCGGGCCCGGAGACTTCATTTCACACTGAGGGGCGGGTGTGAGGCACAGCGGGTTAAGCTGCCCCTTGGGGCACCTGCTCCCCTACTGGGTGCTGGTTTGAGTCCTGGCCACGTTGCTTCTCATCCACCTCTTTGCTAATGTGTCCTGGCGACACCAGATGATGGCGCAAGTGCTTAGGCCTCTGCCAGCCACCTTGGGAGACCAAGGTGGGCTCCGGGCTCCTGGCGTTGGCCTGGCCCAGCCCCAGCTGTTGTAGGCATCTGGGAGTGAACCAGCAGACGCAAAACTCTCTCACTCACTCTCTCACTCTCTCTCTCTCTCTGTCTCTCTCTCTCTCTCTGAGTGTGTGTATGTGTGTGTGTGTTGCTCTGCCGTTCAAGTAGATGAAACACTGGGTTTAACACGAGGGGCCTTTTCCCTCCTACTCTGGTGACAAATGCACTAGGCCACATGGACGTCTTCAGTCTCAGAAGTCAGACCCGAGCTGTGAGGTCCTTTCTGTCCCACGGGCCTCCGGCCAGGGGCAGCTGCCCCCCAGGGTGGGGGCGGGCGCGGACGTGGTGGGCCCAGCAGCAGAGCTCTCTCGGCCTCAGGCTTCCTGTGGGAGCCAGGATTTCTGGGTTCCTGTCTCACTGTGTTACTGACCTGGTTATTACAAAAATAGCTGGCTCCTGCGAGCTTAGTTATGGTTTGTAAGAATACGGCCCTCCGGGGACGGAGGCCCTGGGGACGTCACGCGGGGAGGGTGGAGTGGCCGGGGAGCAGCCAGAGCGGTGGCCGCGTGCAGCAGCGCCAACTCATCGTTCTCGTTTTTGCAGATGGCCGCGTGCAGCAGCGCCAACTCATCGTTCTCGTTTTTGCAGATGGAGTTGGCTGCTCTAGAAAAAGTCAAATCTACTTGGATTAAAAACCAAGATGACAGCTTGACTGAGACAGACACTCTGGTACGTACGTTCCAGCTCCTGCTTCTGCTGTTTCAGAGAGCGTTTGTGCCTTTATAAATACAGTTCAGAAAAGGCCCTCAGGACCGGCCTGGGAACTTCCCCAAGTCTTCAGGCTCGTGAGTGTCCGCGTTCCTCCTCCTAAAACCCTCACTCGTGGGAGGTAGCCCACCCTGGAGCCAGGCTTCTCCCAGACTGATGAGCCAGAAATGTCCCCTTCTCTCTAACGAGAGCTGATCAGGAGCTGGCTTGGGAATTGTCCCACTTCCTGTCACTGTCACTCACCTCCAAAAGCCCTGCGTTCGCCCTTGGGTGTGGCCCAGTCGGCGGCCCAGTGCCACAGCTCCCCTGCCAGCTTCCCACTGACCTGCACACGGGGGCGTGGCTCTGTGGGGGCCAGGGCGGTGCAGGGGATGCAGGCTGGGAGGGGACGCCTGAGCTGGCTCCCTGTGGTCCGGGAAGTCTGTCCAGTGGGACTGGCTGCTGGACGCAGGTGCTGGTGGGAGGGAAAGAGCCCTGCGCGGGATCCCACCTCGGGGTGGCTGAGCGTGGGCCTCGTAAGACCTCACGGTTGAATGGAGTCTGTAGTTATTTTTGCCTTATGTTTCCTTCAGTAAATAATGCTACGTTACGGTGTTGTATGTAACTTAACATTGGGCTTGACTCCAGTCCGGTTAAAGCTTGCCGTGCTAACTTGAGCTCACAGCTCACCAGTCACCTGGATGGCTCGGCCGTCACTGCTGCTCCACTGGTCCACGCTGCATGTGACAGCGTCCGTGCTCAAACGCCAGTCGGGTCCTTCCCTGGTAAAAGCCCTCAGATGCTTGACCAAGTCTCAGGGACTTAATGTTGTGCAGAGAAGCCCCCCCCCCAAAAAAAAAAAAGCCATCAGACTGTTGTGAAATTCACAGACAGGAGAGCTCAGCCACGAAGGCGACCTCAGGATGCTTGCTGCCTGTGAGCGGGGAGGGCCGCGGGACCCCTCGGGGTGCCGGCGCGTCTGGTGGTCGGTGGCCTCAGAGCGCATGCTCACCTTGAAGACTCAAGTTCAGATCTTACATTTGTGCACCAACTCTGGAGACTAGTCCCCAGTACACAACTCAGAATGGCAGATACAGGGACACAAGCGGGCACACAGCACGTGTGGGGAGCAGCGTCTTTCGGGGGGCGAGAGCGGGAGAGAGCTGCCGGCCCCCGGGGAGCACTCACGGGGAATTAACTTAGGAGGGCAGGGCTGGGTCCCGGAGGGCGCGGCCCCGTGCGTCAGGAAGACAGCCGTGGTCTGCGCAGGGAGGATGGTGAGAACGCGGCCATGAGGCTCCTACAATTTTGGAAGGGATCTGAGGGGCTGCAGCCGGCGACACCAGCCGCCCGTGTGAGTGCTGGTCCGTGTCCCGTCTGCTCTGCTTCCAGTCCAGCTCCCTGCTAATGTGCCTGGGAAAGCAGTGGGCACCGGCCGCTCAGGTGGGGGACCCGGAAGAAGCTCTGGCTCCTGGCTCCTGGCTTCGCCTGGCCCAGCCCTGGCCATTGCAGCCATTTGGGGGGTGAACCGGCACATGGAAGGGATATCTATCTCCATCTCTCACTCGCTCGCTCACTCTCGCTCTCTCTGCCTTCCAAATAAATAAATAGATCTTATAGCAAGTTATCTGAGAAAAAGGCAGCAAAGCCTGGACTGGAAAGGTGGGAGAAGGGGTGGATGGGGGAGAGTGTGGAGGATGGGTGGCGCTGGCATCTCGGTGAGGGAGAAGACCACGGTGGGTGCAGGGCCAGGGTGAGGAGTGCGCGGCAGTGCTCGTGGGCTCCCCAGGCCTCAGGGCCAGCCCTGGGGGGTCCGTCCAGGCCCGTCAGAGGGCCAGGGAGGGCGTGGGGTGCCCTGCCCTCTGCAGCTCGCTGAGCAGTGGACTGCGGCGATGGTGCCCAGCCAGCAGGTGCGCTGGGTGAAGTTCAGCAGCAGCCGGCTCCCCGTGGGGAGGGAGGAGCCGTGGGATTGTGGGCAGGAGCGAACAGCTGCCCTGGCCATGGTGATGGGGCCTGCCGGTGACCCCTGCCTCCCCCTGGCAGGAGATCACTGACCAGGACATGTTCGGAGACGTGAGCACGAGTCTGGTGGTGCCAGAGAAAGTCAAAACGCCCCTGAAGTCCAGCAAGACGGACCTGCAGGGCTCCGCCTCCCCCAGGTACCCGCCCCCCCCCAACAGGAGCTGAGGGCCCTCGCGCAGGCCCCGCCGTGTAAACACCTCCTCCCCCCCCCCCCCCCCCCCCCCCGCAGCAAAGTGGAAGGCGCGCACACGCCCCGGCAGAAGAGGAGCACGCCCCTGAAGGAGCGACAGCTCTCCAAGCCCCTGAGCGAGAGGACCAACAGCTCCGACAGCGAGCGCTCGCCGGACCTGGGCCACAGCACGCAGGTACTTCCCTCTCCCCCTTTGAAATGCTCTCAGTGAAAGTCTTGAAAGGCCCAAACGGGAGAAGTACAGGAACCGGGGGCAGGAGAGAGCGCAGGAGCCCATGTACCTCCCCCCCCTTCCACCCCTACACGCCCGGCCTGAACCCCTGAGCCGCAGCCTTCAGTGCTGCGGGGGCTCGGCCGGGGGGGAGGGGGGGCGCGAGCCAGCCGTGAGCGGTGTTGGAGCGTCGTGAAGGGAAGGCGTGAGAGTGGGCTGGGGAGGAGGTGGGGAGGACTGTGTTCTCTGCTCCTGGCGGCTGGGGTGGCGGGCTGTGGGCACATTTCGCAGGAGGCAGCGGGTCTGTGCGATTCCCTGGCAGACACCGGTGAGGGGGAGTGTGTGTCAGTGTGGCTTCCGGAGTCTGACGCTGGGGCAGAGCTGAAAATGCGCCCGAGACCAGAATAGTCCAGGGCCCGGGGCGCGGCCTTGTCCTCGGTGTTCATCACTGCTCCTGAAATACCCTCGCTCCCTTGGACTGCGGCCCCCGCGCAGCGCTGGCTGCCACTCATCACGTCTCCCCACACCCTCGCTGCCACTCTCCTGGGCGCCTGCTGCTCTCGTCCTCTCCTGCCGGCCTGGTGCCGATGCCCCTCGTGGGATGCCCCCCGCGGGCCAGCTGCCATGACTGCACGCCCGCAGAATCCGTGCGTTCTCTCGGCCCCCTCCTCTCCCCTCAGGCCGAGTCTCCCCCTCAGCTTCCCGGTACCTGCCTGCTCTGACCGCGCCCCCAGCTGCTGCCTAACACGTGGTGTCCCTGCAGGTCCCGAGGAAGGTGGTGTATGACCAGCTGAACCAGATCCTGGTGTCCGACGCAGCGCTGCCGGAGAACGTCATCCTGGTGAACACCACCGACTGGCAGGGCCAGGTGAGCGGGCAGCCTGCGGGGGCGGGGCTTGCCGCCGTGGTGGTGGTGGGGAGCAGGGGTGGGCCCTGAGCGCTCGTCCTGCCTCCCTCCTGCCCAGCCTGGGGCCGCAGGTGAGAGCTTTCTGTGCCTCAGTGTCCTTATCCCTCCCAAGGCAGGAGGAGCCCCTGTCTGACCGTTGCCTGTGCCCACACGGAATTCAGAGCAGGGGCGCTCAGAGGGGCGCCAAGTGCTGGGCCCCCAGGGGTGCGCCGGTTTCCATGGAGCTCATCCTGCCCGTTCCGCCCTGTGTCCTGGGCCAGACGCCAGTGCCGGGAGCACCCGGAGTGCGGGCTCTGGAGCCTTCCCGTCCGCCCCGCCTCCGCCCTTGGCCCAGCTGCGGTCTGAGTGACGAGGATGGGGCTCTGCGGCTCAGGCTAGGCCTTGCCTGCCCTCGTGGTGCCTGGAGGGGGGCAGCGTGGCCTCACCTGCGTCCCTGCCCCTGCCCCCCCCCAGTACGTGGCCGAGCTGCTGCAGGATCAGCGGAAGCCTGTCGTGTGCACCTGCTCCACCGTGGAGGTCCAGGCCGTGCTGTCCGCCCTGCTCACCCGCATCCAGCGCTAGTAAGGGCCCCAGCTCCCCTCTCCTGCCCCTCGGGGTCCCTCTGACTTCCAAGCAGTGTGAGGATCCACGGGCCGTAGTGCTCAGTGGCCCTGGTGGCCCGGAGCCAGTCGAGTCAGTGTCCACCCCAGGACACTGGAGGGGCAGAGTCCCCTGCTGTGTGACGGACGCCCACCACCAACCCTGCACACCCAGCTCTTCTCATAGGCACTGACTTGCCCCTCCCCTTTTTAGGGTCGATTTACTTACTTGAAAGAGTGACTGAGGGAGACAGGAAGAGCCTCCATCCTCGGGTTTACTCTCCAAACGGCCGCAGCAGCCCCGGCTGGGCCAGACTGAAGCCAGGAGTCAGAACTCTACCTGGGTTTCCCACGTGGGTGGCAGGAATGCAAATACTTTCTTAAAAAATTATTTATTTGAAAGGCAGAGTTAGAGAAAGAAAGAGAGGGAGGGAGACACGGAGAGAGATCTTTGATCCTCTGGTTCCCTCCCCAAGTGGCCGCAACTGCCAGAGCTTCCTCTGGGTCTTCCACGTGAGAACAGGGACCCAAGCACTGGGCCATCTTCCGCTGCTTTCCCAGGCGCATTTAGCAGGAGCTGGATCGGAAGTGGAGCAGCCGGGACTCGAAACAGCCCCTTATAGGATGACGGTGCTGAGGGCAGGGCATTAACCCACTGAGCCACAGAGATGGCACCACGCTGCTCCACTTCTGATCCACCTGGGAAAGCAGCGGAGGACGGCCCAGGTCCTTGAGCCCCTGTACCCGCGTGGGAGACCCAGAGGAAGCTCCTGGCTCCTGGCTTTGGATCAGCTCAGCTCTGGCCATTAGGGCTGTTTGGGGAGTGAACCAGAAGATGGAAGACCTTTCTCTCTCTGTCTCTACCTCTTTATCTAACTCTTTCAAATAAATAAAATAAATCTTAAAAAAAAAAAAAAAAAAAGTGGAGCAGCTGGGACTTGAACCAGTGCCCATGTGAGATGCTGGCGCTGCAGGTGGCGGCTCCACTTGCTGTGCCATGGTGCCAGCCCCAAGTAGTGCAAATACTTGAGTCATCATTGGCCGCCTCCCAGGCACACTTGTAGGGAGCTGGATCGGAAACAGAGTAGCGGAATGTGAACCAGCACCCCAGTATGGGATGCCGTGTCCCAAGCAGCAGCCCAACCCCTGCCCACCGTGCCCGCCCCTGACCCGCCCTCTTATTTCTGCATATTCTCTTCCCTGCTAAAGTCCCCTGGCCTCCTGCCCCTCCCCACCTTCTGTTGATTGGTTTGCTGTGTGTAGAGCGGGGGCCTTGCCCTGGGCGGGACCCGGGAGCCCCGACCGCAGGTGCAGCTCTGCCCTTCCCCCCAGCTGCAACTGCAACTCCTCCATGCCGCGGCCGGTCAAGGTGGCAGCCGTGGGCGGCCAGAGCTACCTGAGCGCCATTCTCCGCTTCTTCGTCAAGTCCCTGGCCAGCAAGACCTCCGACTGGCTGGGCTACATGCGCTTCCTCATCATTCCCCTTGGTAAAGTCGGGCAGGGCCTGGAGCGAGGAGCGGGGAACAGGGCCCGGGCAGGGCCTGGAGTGGGGAGCGGGGAGCGGGGAGTGGGGCCCGGGCAGGGCCTGGAGTGGGGAGCAGGGCCCGGGGAGTGGGCAGGGCCTGGAGCGGGGAGCAGGGCCCGGGCAGGGGCCGTCAGGGAGGCCGGGCCCGGGCACTCCTGCCACGTCATCCCAACCCGCTGGTCTTTGCTGGTTTGCCGCAGGTTCTCACCCTGTGGCAAAGTACTTGGGCTCCGTGGACAGTAGATACGGCAGTGCCTTCCTCGACTCTGGCTGGAGAGACCTGTTCAGTCGCTCAGAGCCCCCGGTCTCAGGTAGGGAGCAGGGGTGAGGCCTGGCTGAGGGAGAGGCCGAGGGGCCGGCTGCTCCTCCGCTTTGGCCTCTCCCCGGCCCCCTGCACACTCGTCGTCCAGTAAGTGCTCTGTCGGTGGGGGCTGGTTACTGCGGTGTCGGCCTCCGCTCCCACACATCCAGAGCGAGGAGGGCCGTGGTGGGGGCGGGCGGGCCGGCTCAGGGAGCAGCCCTGCGAATATCGCCTGGACGCGGTGGGCATCAGGGCGCGCCAAGGCCGAGCACCAGGCGGAGTTCTGCCACCCGGCTGGGGTGGGTGTGAGCCGGGGGCACGAGGCCCCCGGGGAGGGAGGGGCCGTGCTCTGGTTCTGACTCCCTCAGTTCAAAACAAGGGGGTCTTGGAGACCCTTCTCCACCTGAACGCCCCGGGGCCTCTGGCGGGAGTGCAGGAGCGGCCCCGGAGGAGGGGCACGGTTTGGCAGAGCGGCCCCGGAGGAGGGCTCGGTTTGGCAGAGCGGCCCCGGAGGAGGGCCCCGGTTTGGCAGAGCGGCCCCGGAGGAGGGCCCCGGTTTGGCAGAGCGGGCCCGGAGGAGGGCTCGGTTTGGCAGAGCGGCCCCGGAGGAGGGCTCGGTTTGGCAGAGCGGCCCCGGAGGAGGGGCATGGTTTGGCAGAGCGGCCCCGGAGGAGGGCTCGGTTTGGCAGCTCTCCCGTGGTGTTTCCGCAGAGCAACTGGACGTGGTGGGGCGCGTGATGCAGTACGTGAACGGGGCAGCGGCGACGCACCACCTGCCCGTGGCCGAGGCCATGCTGACCTGCAGGCACAAGTTGTGAGTTTGGCTTTGGGGCGTCTTGAAGCAGCTCAGTCTCCTTCGCTTTCCTGTGTTTTCCTCTCGCCCCGTTTGCCTCTGCAAACCCAGCAGGGTGAGCGTGGGCCTCCTCCCTGGGCCTCCCATCTGTACTCCAGGAGACCGGGTCCCTGTGCCCGCCCTCAGCGTAGAAGCGGCCGTCCTGAGGCCCAGATAGGGGAGAGTCAATGGCAGTCAGCTGGGGGCGGGCGGGGGAGGAGCCCCCACAGACCGCGAGCCACTCGCTCCCTCCCTCCCCACCTCGCCCCCGACCCTCTGCTCCGGGCGAGCACTGACCCTGAAGCTGTCCTGTCTCTACAGCCCCGACGAGGACTCCTACCAGAAGTTCATTCCCTTCATTGGCGTGAGTACTGCCCCAGGCCACGCAGCCGCGCGACACTCGCCCACAGCCGTGGATCCTGGGCGCTGGGGAGGGGGCTTCTGCCAAGGGTGGGGGTGCCCCGTGACAGCACATCCTGCACGTGCACACACACCGTGGCGTAGGGCAGGGGAGGCCCAGGCCTCCTGTCCGGCTGGCCTCTGGATGTTGTCCTTTTGCGATCCTGGACTGTCCCCGACCCAGTGCTGCTCTCTTGTGCACTGCCCCGACCCCGGGGCCTGGCGTCCAGAGCGTGGCTTCTGCAGCCCCCGGGGAGGAGACACTCAGACACGGCGAAGGGTGACTCCCTAGCGAAGCCTGGGACTCGAGTCCGCCTTCCGGTCAGAGGAAGGGGCTGTGTGCTTGTCTGTTCAGCCGAGGAGTTTGACGGGAAAGGCACAACCTCTGGCGAGCTTGGTGTCGGTGTGCTGCCCTGGTCTGTTCAGTTGGCAGTGGCTGGGCCGCAGGGAGCAGAGCCGCAGAGCCCTGCCCCGGACTGGAATGCACGCTTGTGTTTATAGACACAGTTAGCCCCCGCGTCATCGCTCTCTTGTCTTTTCGGGGATCCTGGAGGAGAGACGGCTTAGCTCCCCGCTCTTCCTGCACACCCGAGGTTCTGTATGTCTTGGGTGAGCTGGCGAGACGTGGCCGTCCCGTCCTGCGGTGTGGTCGGTCCCGGCTCACCCCTGCTGTGGGCCTCAAGACCACTGCCCACTGCCTGGCCCAGACGCCTAACTCCTGTATCACGAGACCTGGGTCGCTGCTCGCTCTGACTTCACAACCAAGATTTGAAAAAGAAAATGTGTTTGGAGAAACCAGAGGCGCTCACAGCCCCCACAAAATGCCAGGGGAGCAGGGGAGAGGGGGTCGCATCCAGGAAGCCCCGGCGTGGATTTATTCCTCTCCAGAAATCAAAACAAGTGTGCAGGGCACTGGGACAGAATTCTGTGCGGCCTGTGTTGAGGGGGGCCCTCGGTCCCCACGTGGTCGCCACTGCCCATGCGCTGAGTCCAGTGTTCCTCCGGCCCTGACTGGCCACAGGTGCTGGGACACAGGACACTGCAGCCCCATAGCCCTATCACAGTCACAGTCTGTCTCCAGCTGGCCTTGGCTGGCCACTGGGGGGCCCCCTCGACCCTCTCCAGGATTCCCTCCAGGGAATCTAATTCCTGAGAATTCTGGGAACGCCAGGAGCGGCCTGGTGTCGGCACCCTCACGTGTTCACGTGTCTCACAGCTCCTGTGCCCACGCTGCGACCCTGGGCAGAGCCGTCGTCCTCGCCCCGTGTGGTTTAGGAGGGAGATCAGTGCACGGGGTGGTTCCTGCGGTCGGGGCTGGGCGTCCCCCTCCCCCCCCTCCCCCTCCCCCAGGGGAGTGTCACAGGCTCCCATTGGCCTTTAGAACTGGCGTTCACGGCACCGCTGGGGACCTGGGCTGCTCCCGCTTTGTGCAGGTGTTAAGTAAAAGAACGGGGGGCTCGGTGACTGTGCCGGCCTCGATGGGGCTGACGGTGCTGCTTCCTTCCGCAGGTGGTGAAGGTGGGTCTGGTGGAGGACTCTCCCTCCACTGCCGGTGAGCCCGCGCTTCCTTGGCTTCTGGGGCGAGGGCGGCGCCTCCTGGGGGCCAAGGCTGGAGATGCTGCTCTCAGTTTCTGGAGCCCAATGACGCAGCTGGGGGCAGCAGGGGTGCTGGGAGGAGGGAGAGGAGGGAGAGGCCCAAAAGGAAACAGGGCTGCCACCAAGACGGGTACCTCCCCCGTGCCACTCCTCCGGCCAACGGCATCTGTCCCCTGACAGGTGACGGGGACGATTCACCCGTGGTCAGCCTTACCGTGCCCTCCACGTCACCACCCTCCAGCTCGGGCCTGAGCCGAGACGCCACGGCCACGCCCCCGTCCTCCCCGTCCATGAGCAGCGCCCTGGCTGTCCTGGGGTAAGGCCGCTGCCCGACTCCTTCCTGCTGCACCCTCCATCCCAGGGACGGGCACACGGGGCGAGAGTCCACAGCAGAGGCCGGGGACCAGCTCGGGAAGTGGGTGGGCACGTCCCGCACTGTCTGTCTCCACTGCAGGCCCCAGTGAGGCAGTGTTGCGGAGGAGGGCCGGGCACGTGTCTCACGGCCCCTGTGCTGGCTTCGTCTGCTGGGGAGGCCGGAAGCGCAGTGGCACAGGAGCTGGGAGGGAGCCTGGAGCTAAAGGGACGGGGGTGTGGCTCTGAGGTCACAGGCTGTGATGAAGGGCAAGCGACTTAAAGTTTAGGTCAGGTGGGCTGGGAGCGGCTTTCCCACTGAGGCCTGCGTGGGGGGAGAGAGGTTCCCCGCGGCCTGGAAGTGAGGCAGGGTGGGCCGCAGCCGGGAGCAGGAAGGAGTGAGTGCCTCCTACCCGCCCCCCCTTCCTCTCTGGGTAGCAGCAGAGTGGGAGGCCTTGGCCGGCTTTCCCGGGGCCCCAGTGAGCGGCTCACAGCCCCTGGCCGGGGTCCTCCCTGTTCCCCCTCCTCTTCGCGTGGGCCCTCTCTCACTGCGGACGCGCCCTGCGGGAGGCGGGGACGGCCCTCTGCCCCGCCGCCCTCCTTCCGTCCCACCTCAGCTTGGTTTTTAATGGAACCGCTGAGAGGAAGCGGAGAGGGACAAATCAGATGACTGGCGGAGCTCCTGTGCCTATTGTGTCTGACGCCTCCTTTCAAGAAAACATCAGCCCTTTCTCCCCCGGCAGCTAAAATTATCCCTGAGCTAAAAGCGCCGTGCTTGAGAGACAGCGCAGGTCACCCCCGGCCCCCGCCCGCCGCCTCGCTCCAGCCCTGCCCTCATTTGGGCGCAGGCTTTGTGTGCCGGGCGGGCATGTGCACAGGCGTGTGCGCGTCCGTGTGCACCTGGCGTGGTGCCCTGTGGTTCGCTTGCGGTAATCGGCCCTCCGTCTGCTCCTGGCTCTGTCCTCGGCCGCGCTGACTCCAAGAGGGCGAGACCACAGAGCCGCCGCTGGCCCCGCTCAGGGCCTGGCCCCTCTCGCCCCGGCGGGCCCTTGGTGCTGGGCCCCGGGGCAGAGCCACCCTCTCCTTTCCTCTCCCTCCCCAGGAGCCCCAGCAGCCCGTACGGGGACGTGATTGGCCTCCAGGTGGACTACTGGCTGGGCCACCCCGGGGAGCGCAGGCGGGAGGGCGACAAGAGGGACGCCAGCTCCAAGAACACCCTCAAGAGCGTCTTCCGCTCGGTGCAGGTCTCCCGCCTGCCCCACGGCGGGGAGGCCCAGCTCTCTGGCACCATGGCAATGACCGTGGTCACCAAGGAGAAGAACAAGAAAGGTGAGTGCGGCCGCGGCCAGGGCGGGACGGAGCCGCCAGGCCTCCCTCCCCTCTGCCCACCCGCAGCCGGCCTGGGCCCACCCAGGGAACAAAGCCGGTCCCATGGGGCAGGCAGCCGAGGCCCCAGCAAGACGCTGAGCGTCAGTGCCCCCGGCATGGTGATGAGGCCGCTGGCTGCTGCCCAGTGCCTGGGGACGGACTGCAGGCCCGGGGACAGCTCTGCACCGCAGCCACGGTCGCCACGACCCGGAGTCTGGGAGGCCGCTCCAAGAGGCTTCCTGAACAAAAGGACACAGTGTGGTTTTTCCGCTTCAGTTTTCAGTGCATTTATTTCTTTGAAAGGCAGAGAGAAACAGACTTCTGCTGGTTCACTCCCCAGATGCTGAAGGCAGGAGCCTGGAGCGCAGCCCAGGTCTCCTGTCGGGTGCAGGGGCCTGAGCACGTGGGCCATCATCCGCTCCTCCCCAGGGGCTCAGCGGGGAGCCGGGGCAGAAGCAAAGGCGGCGCTTCAGCATGGATGCCGGTGTCCCACGTGGCGTCTTAGCCGCCACACCAAACGCCTGCCCCCCAAGTGCCCATTGAGAACTGGGGGCACACAGCCCCTTCCGGATGAAAGGAGCAGCTTAGGGCCCTGGAGGCAGAGTCGGAGGGTGGTCCTGGTCCTGTGCTGGGGGCAGCGAGGCAGGAGCCCCCTCAGCCGGGCCCATGCTGGGCACCTGCGGCTGACCCCAGGCCCTGCCTGTTGGGGGGTGCACCCATGCGCGGGTCCCCTGCGGCCCCCAGCAGCTTGTGCAGTGGCTCAGACTTGAGGAGGGGCCGTCCACTCAGCAGTGCCCTCCCTGTCCTGGAGCAGAGCCAAGTGGTGTGGGGAGCCCTCCCCGCACGCAGGGCAGGCCACGTGGGCCCCCCAGCCACAGCACGCCCAGACAGGGAGGCAGGCCTGCCCCGAGGCCAGCTAGCACATTCTGCTGGAAGGGACGTGAGAGACCATCTGGCCCCGTCCTCTCTGTGCAGCTGAAGATACCGAGCCCCAGGCGGGGGGTGGGATCTCAGCCAGAGCCACCCAGGGACCTGAAGGCCCTGCCCCGCGGCCTGGAGCCGGGAGCCAGGGGACGCTGGGAAGGGGCTGGCTTTCGCAGACCGCCCCTCTGCAGCAGGGGGCGGGGTGGGGCGGGGCCAGGGGCGGGGCCCTCACGGAGGTCGTGCCTGCTTGCTCTGCAGTCCCCACCATCTTCCTGAGCAAGAAGCCGCGGGAGAAGGAGGTGGACGCCAAGAGCCAGGTCATTGAGGGCATCAGCCGGCTCATCTGCTCCGCCAAGCAGCAGCAGACCGTGCTGAGAGGTGCGGGGCAGGGCGGCGCCCAGGCCCCGGCGGGGCCCGCGGGTGCTGCCCGCAGCCCCGCTCACCTCCTCTCCCTGTCACCCTCAGTGTCCATCGACGGAGTGGAGTGGAGTGACATCAAGTTCTTCCAGCTGGCGGCCCAGTGGCCCACTCACGTCAAGCACTTCCCAGTGGGGCTCTTCAGTGGCAGCAAGGCCGCCTGAGGCCTGCGTCCTGGCCACTCTCCCTCTGGCACTGCCACTCGAGACGCTGCCTCCCCCTCCACTGCCCAGCCTGCCCTCGGCCGCGCCTCCTCGCCTCTCCCTCCCCCCTATCTCCTCCCCCCTGCTCCAGGCCCCAGGCAGGTGGGTTTTGCCTCCTGGTGCCCGTGGTCCCTGGCGTCAGGTCCTCTAGGCCGTCCTTCCCAGGACTTGCCACTCTCCCCGCTGTGGCACCAGCGCCCGTCCTGGAAGCAGTAAACCTGGAACTCTGGTCCACAGTGGAGAGCCCACCCCCCATCCCCCACCACCACTGCCAGGATCTGGTTTCCCGTGGCCACTGTGGCCTGGCTGCACCTGCGCCTGCAGGACCCCCCCGCGCTCACAGGGGCAGGAAGCACTGCCTGCAGCCGGGGGCATGGGTCTGGGGTGGGGGCCTGCCCGGTGCCCCCATGCATGACTTCCCAGCATCCCCTGCCCCTGTGGGTGCCACGAGTCCTGAGCGTTTCTTCGGTTCTCTGCACGGCCGAGCCTGGGGGTCGTTCCGTGGGGCCACCCCGTGCACCGGCTGTGGCCGCTTCCTTCCTCTGCCCCCTCCCCCCCAGCACAGCTCTGCCTGGATCAGAGATGGAGGTGGACCCCTACCAGCACGTGCCCTGCCAGCTGCCCGGCCCCCTGCCCTGCCCCCCACCCCCGTCTCCCTCCAGCAGGCTCCTTCCCTCCCTTTGGCCACAGACCAGGGTCGCAGCCCCTCCCCGGCCTCCGGAGAGGCCAAGGACACGGGCCAGATCCCGGCCCGGCCCCGTGGCTGTGGGCCTCCAGGGCTCCCCGTTGCCCCTCGCCCCTCCTAGAACTAGGTTTTTGAAAGTGCTCTCCTCGTCCTCACCTCCCCCGGCGCCTCCACCTCCTCCGCGGCTCAGCCCTGCCGGGCATCTCTGGGCAAGAGGAGGGGTGCGGGAGATGGGGTTGAAGCTGGGGTTTTCATTCAATAAACTGGTGATTTCTTAGCACCTGCGCTGGGCCTCTGTGCCGCTCGCTGTGTCACTGGGGCGGCCCAGCCCGCCCTCTGCTCCCCTGCCACGCGACCTAAGGCCACCCGGAATTAGCCAGGAACCCGCGATGAGGGCGCACGCCCCTTCCCCCTGTGGACAGAGGCCAGAGGCAGGAAAGACACCGCCCCCAGCAGGGCGCACGCAGGGTGGCCCCCTCTTCTGATTGGAGGCCTGTAGGGGGTGTCTGCCCCCATCCGCCTGGGTCCTGCTGCAGGCTGGGAAGCCGATGAAGGGCGAGGCCAAAATCGTTGCCTGTGCAGGTGGAGGGGGCGGCTGGGGGACATTCAGTGTGTTTTCCTGCCCGCCACTCACCGTGGAGATGGGAAACGGCCGTGGCCTGGGTTCCCCCAGCAGGCGTGCCCAGCGGTGAAGGCTTGGGCGTCCTTGTCCTGCGGGCGGCCAAGTAGCGGAGCTGTCGCTGGCCTAGCAGAGAGGCTGTGGGCCTGCGTGGCCTCCCTGAGCCTGGAAGATGGGAGTGATGGCCGCCACCCCAGGGGGAGAAGCCAGCACAGCTGCAGAAGTGGCCCAGAAAGAACCAGGGCTCCCTGTGCGTGAGCAGCACTGAGCAAGGGTCCGTGGGGCCGCCAGTGAGCAGGGCGACGGGCAGAGGGAGGAGCTGGGAGGCCGGGAGCTGCGGGCCCGCGCAGGATCTGGAAGCAACAGCACAGGTGGGTGGGGAGGTGAGGGTGCAGGTGAGGAGGAGCCGGGTCTCGGCGCCTGCCTCCCCTGGCCTCCACCTGCCAGGCTGGCCCTGCTCCCTGAGGGCAAGGCACCTCCCAGGAACGGCCCGTCTCCCACTCCCTTCGGGCATCTCTCTCAGTGCCAAGGTCACCGGGGACCTGGGCTGCCCAGACCCTCCTTCCTGGCCTCCCTTCCGGCCCCGGCAGAACTCATGGCCTGGTGCCCACGTCACCAAACCTGGCCTGGCGGTGTGAACCGGACCCCCCAGTCCTGGAACCCCCAGCCCTGTGCTCTCCCGCCCGGCGCCCGATCCTCAGCAGGCCCCACAGCCCCTCCCTTCCAGAGCGTCCAGACCCAGTGGCCCGGCGCCCTGTTCTGCCGTGACTTTCCCGCTGGCTGCGGTCTCCTGCAGGACAGGGTTCTGCGTCCACCCTGTTCTTCCTGTGTTTCTGTCCACACCATGCCAGAGCGCGTGGCCAAGGGCAGCTCGTGTTAACACTGACCCAAACTGTCCAGTGGCTTCCCGATCCCTAGGAACAGTAACCAAACCCTCGCGCTAAGCTCCACAGTCTGCCTGGACCCGACTCCCAGCGCCTGCTTCATCCCACTCCTCTCCCTCTCCCCTCCCCCGCTGGCTCTCAGACACCAGGCACATCCTACCTCCGGGCCTTTGCATGAGCCGGTCATCCTGCTCTGCTACCCCCCGCCCTCATTCTAGGCCAGGCCTAGACTCTCCTCTCTGCCCCTTTTCTGCCTCTCCTCGGCACTTGGCATTTAATCATTCATTGTTTGTCTCGCACTGAAACGTAAGATCCAAGAACGGGAACGCCCGCCCCGCCATATCCTTGGCGCCCAGGGTGCTGCTTGGCCCGTCGTACACAGCAGATACTTGCTGACAGGCTGCCGGAAGGCGGTCCCTAAACCACATGTGCCACTCCAAGCGCTGTCCACGCCTCAGCCGGAGGCCACCTGCCTTTCCTCCCGGGCCCTGGGTGACAGGATGGACGTGGATGGACGTGGCCGAGGGCTGTGTGGCAAGGGCTCCCAGGACCCCAGGCGCAAGGCAGCTCGGGAAGGCTTTGACTTGGGCCTTGACACGGCTCTGCATAGTCCCTGAGAGCCACGGCCAGACCAGGGCAGAACTGTCCCAGGGCCACCAGAGGCTTTCTCTAAGGCCCAGGGCTGGCATGTGGTGCCGAAGGCGGAGGGACGGTATTTTACCTGCACATCAACTTAAGACTGCCTTTTTTTTTTTTAAGGTTTATTTATTTGAAAGATAAAGAGCTTCCATCTGCTGGTTCACTCTCCAGATGGCCACAATAGCCAGGGCCGCATGAGGCCAAAGCCAGACCCATCCAAGTCTCCAGTGTGGGTGCAGGGGCCCAAGCATTTGGACCATCTGCTGTGGCTTCCCCAGGAGCATTAGCAGGGAGCTGGATTGGAAGTGGAGCAGCCGGGACTCGAACCGGCGCCCATGTGGATGACCGTGTCCCAGGCGTGACTGAACCCACTGAACCATAATGCTAACCGCTGAACTGCTTTGTCTTTTTAATCTCAGTCGCTTCTTGGCTTTTTTTTTTTTTTTTTTTTTTTTTTTTTTTTTTTGACAGGCAGAGTTAGACAGTGAGAGAGAGGGAAAAAAGTCTTCCTTCCGTTGTTCACCCCTCAAATGGCTGCCGTGGCCGGTGCAGTGCACTGCGCCGATCCAAAGCCAGAAGCCAGGTACTTCTTCCGGGTCTCCCATGCGGATGCAGTGCTTGGGCCATCCTCCATTGCCTTCCGGGGCCACAGCAGAGAGCTGGACTGGAAGAGGAGCAACCGGGACAGAATCCGGCGCCCTGACCGGGACTAGAACCTGGGGTGCCGGCACTGCAGGTGGAGGATTAGCCTAGTGAGCCGCGGCGCTGGCCTAGCTTCTTGGCTTTGACATAGCTCTGTGTGCCCATCCCCAGTGTGGTCTCAGTGGCATGTCACGTGCAGGAGTCAGCAGTGACACATCGCTGTTACCTGGAGTCCGTGCCGCGCACAGGTTGCCTTTGCCGCCCCCCGCCCCCGCCCCGTGTCCCTTTTCCCTCCAGAATCCCATTCAGGATGCTCACTTACCTGTGTGTGTGTGTGTGTGGCAGAGATGCAGAGACAGGGAGAGACGGGGGGGGGGCACCCATCCATTAGTTCGCTCCTTGGGTGCCCACAATGGCTGAGGCTTCGCCAGCCTGAAGTCGGGAGCTGGGAGCCCGGTCCAGGTCTCCCGTGGCGGGGGCAGGACCCCAGCTCCTGGAGCCATCACCACTGACCCCCAGGATCTGCATGGTGGGAAGGCAGGACCAAACCGAGACGCACACCCCGTCGTTCCCACGTGGGACGAGGGGTCTTCACCACCAGGGCCCACGCCGGCCCCGGGAGCCCGTTCCCCCACCTGGCCCACCTGAGTCGCCATCGCAGCGGCATTCACTTCCCGCCAGGTTAGCTCCCACGCTAGGCACTGCTGATACAGGGGGGCACGGCAGCTGGAAGGTCAGCCCGGAGCAGGCGCCAGCGTGAGAGTGTGCAGAGGAGCACGGGCAAGGGGCTGTGCAGGTGGATGCTCTGGGCGCAGGAAGCAGCGAGCCACACACGAGAGGGAGCCCGAAGGGCCCTGGGACCGCCCGTGGCTCAGCGTGGCTGAAAAGGCCCCGAGGCCCTCGTGGCCGCGGTTGCCTCCACCGTGTGCGGAGCAAGGGCCGTGCGCTTCGTGCTGCGAGGCCGGAGCCGGAAAAGGGCTTCAGCCGAGAGCGAGGGTGGCATTCAGGCAGCTGGCTCTGCGGCGACACGGGAGGACACGGGCCTGGCCCTCGGCCCGGGAGGTGAGCAGGAACGAGCACACATGAGCGATGAGCACAAGGACCCAGGGGAGGGCAGAGAAGTGGGCGGGCCCCAAGAGCGGATTAAGACAAAACCCACAGGTTTGGCAGGTTAGAAATGGGACGGCAAGAGGCAGGAGGGCAGGCGCTGTGGCGTAGCCGGCAAAGCCCCCACCCACAACACGGCATCCCACAGGGGCGCCGGTCTGAGTCCCGGCTGCTCCACTTCCAGTCCAGCTGGAAGGTGGCCCAGTGCTTGGACCTCTGTCATCCAGGAGACAAATGGAGCTCCAGCCCGGGCCAGGGTGGCCATTTGGGGAGTGGACCAGCAGATGAATGGAAGATGGCTCTGCCTCTCCCTCTCTGTAACTCAAATAAATAAAGCCTTTTTGAAGGGGGGGGGGGGGGCGTTGAGGACAGGGACTGGCCAGCAGCCCTGCAAGACGGGCAGGTGGTGGGGCGTTCTGCGGGAGATTTGGGTAGGGGATGGCAAGCCGGGTGAGGACAGAGGGTGTGCGTTCTACTCCAACTTGGAGGTGACCGTCTGGGTGTGCACGGGGCTCAGAAGAGGGGTGGACACGGGGGCTTCCTCTGGAGGTGGGAGAGCCAGCCCAGAGCAGGGCTGACCTCTCTCCTGACCCCGTGGGCACCTGCTGCGCGCTCTGCTGATTGCGCTTTCTCTCCGGCCACCCTGTGTGTCCCCCCCTCCCCCTCCCCAGCACAGGGTCTGTCCGCCAGCCTGGCTAGGAACAGTGTCTGTTAGGCACGAGGCAAGCTGCCGAGACCCCACACTATTTATTCGGTCTCTTGTGACCAGCAAGGTGGGTTTTGAGAAACCCTTTGTGCAGATGGGCAAACAGATGAAGTGACCACGCATGCCTAGAAAGCACGCCGCTGGCAAACGGGCAAGGCTGGCTTTGAACCCCCGAAGCCTGAGCAGGACGAGGGACCCTGCCAGCCGGGCTGGGACACGGCAGGGAGGGAAGCTGCGGCTTCGCCACGCGGCTGCCGGGACAGCGACCGAGAGCCGCCCTGCGTGGACGCCGCGCAGACTTGGTGTGTGCCCCGGCGGCAGGAAGAGCGGCCGTCGCGGGTGTCCTCAGGAAGGGGGAAGTTGTGGCCTTGGAGGAGCTGCCAGCCTTGTGGGAGAGCAGCTGCCACTTGGGGGACGGGGGGGGGGTGAGACCCTCAGAGAAAGCGCCCCCCACACACCGCAGAGGAGGGAGTGGAAGAGAGCGGGTCCCAGGGGGCAGGTGCTTCTGAGAACCCGGAGCGGAGAGGCGGTTTTCCGGGAGCAAGAACAACTCCCCCGGTTGGGGCGGGGGTGGGGCTGCCCTTATTCTCCACTGAGCACCCATCGGCAGCCTGGCAGGGGCCCAGAAGAGCGGGGTGCAGCACCAGTCCCTCCCCTCGGGAGACAGGGCACACAGAGTGATCCTCAGAGACAAGCCAGGGCCGGAGAAGGAGGAGCACTTGCAAGGTCAAGCACCAGGAGCGAGATAAGAGGCTGGGCGGGGCAGCCTCCCCCAGCCCGGGGCACATGCGCTGCAAAGCAGGGCCAGCGGCCTGCCTGCGGGAGAGCGAGGAGCCTCCGGAGCCACACTCAGAGACTGGAGCTCCCTCTGTTCCCCTGGGAAAGGGTGGTTGAAGGGGGCGCTCCCTGCCTTGCCTGGGGCTGGGCCGGCCTCTGGCTCCAGGTGGTGGCTGTGTGTGTGTGTGTGTGTGAGAGAGAGAGAGAGAGAGAGAGAGAGGCCTTTCTCTCTGGGTCTCCGTGTCCTCGGCTGTAACACGGAGTTCGGAACAGCGGCTGTCAACGTGCAGACAGTGCCCGGGATGCACCCTGGCTGGCCCCAGAGATCCCACAAACCTCGCTAAGCGCAAAGGCGCCCTGGGCTGCAGAGGCCACTTCCTCCGGCCAGCAAGACCAGCCAGCGGGTGGGGAGTGCGGTCCAGTCGATGGGGTCTCTGCACATGGTGGCTTCTGCAAGACCGGGCCAGTGTGAGGGCCGAGGGACGGCAGACCCCAAATGCAAAAGGCCTCAACCATTCGGGCCCCAACCTTGGGGTGAGCTGAGGGGCTGACAGCGGCCGGGATGGAGACGGGCTCAGCACTGAGGCAGTGACAGAGGCGGGGCACGCGAGAAGCTGGCGACAGCAGGCGCTTCCGGGGAGGGGAGCCTAAAGCCCCGGACAGTGCCCAGGGAGAGAACTACACCTCCTTGCAACGTTTTAAGAGATGGATTTATTTGAAAGACAAGCTTGCAGAGAAGGAGAGAGGAGGAGCTCTTCCATCCCCTAGTTCACTCCCCAGTGGCCGTGACAGCCAAGACCCTGGAACTCCATGGGGGGGCTCCACGTGGGTGGCGCCTGCTGCTGCTTTCCTGGAGGGTTAGCAGGGAGCTGGATCAGTACGGGAGCAGCCAGGCTGGGAGCAGCCAGGCTGGGACTGAAGCTCGCGGGGGTGCCCGCTTTGTGCAGTGGCATAGCCTGAGCTACAGCTCTGGCCCAGGCACGCCTTTTGAATGTTGCACCAAAATGAAAGTTTCAATCCCAGTAGCACCCCCTTATCTGTAGGGGCAGCACCCCCTTATCTGTAGGGGCGCATCCCAGAGGGGGCCTGCAGCCACTGAAGGTATCAAACCCTATCTGTATGTTCCCCCTGTGGATACATTCCTATAACAAAGTTAATTTCTTTTTTGAAATTTATTTGAAAGGCAGAGTTACAGAGAGGCAGAGGTAGGGAAAGAGAGAAGAGAGAGAGAGAGAGAGAGAGAGAGAGAGAGAGAGAGAGAAGTCTTCCATCCACTGGTTCACTCCCGAAGTGGCTGCAACAGCTGGAGCTGCACCAATTTGAAGCCAGGAACCAGGAGCTTCTTCCAGGTCTCCCACGCGGGTGCAGGGCCCAAGCACTCGGGCCATCTTCCACTGCTGTCCCAGGTGCATTAGCAGGGAGCTGAATCGGAAGTGGAGCAGCCGGGACTCAAACTGGTGCTCACAAAGGACGCTGGCACTGCAGGCAGCAGGTTAACTCCCTGCGCCACAGTGCCGGCCCCTAAAGTCTAATTTCTAAATTAGGCACAGTAAGGGGTTAACCGGCAGAGGAAATGTAACGCTTTCGTGTGTAAGTTATTTGAAACTTACGAGCTGTGTATTTCTAGGATTTTCTATTCAGGAACTTTGGGCTGCAGCTGACTTGGGGGCCCCTGAAGCCTTGGGAGGCAAAACCGCGGGAAAAGAGGGGGGTTGCCCTGTCTCCAGGCCCCAGGCCCGGGCTGGGGGTGTGGGCATGACCCGGGCCCGGCTGGCCAAGCTGCAGCGGCGCCGCCCGGGTGGTAGCAAGCTCCCTGAGGGAGCACCCGCCGTGCTGGGCAGCTCACTCCCTGGCGGGGGCCCCGGGGCCCCATGCAGAGTGGCAGGTCCAGAGCAGGCCCCCAGCCACAGAGAGGGGTCAGGATGGGGAAGGGTCAGACCAGCCAGAGAGAGCAGTCACCACCTCCAAGTGCCTCCATTGGCTGAAAGGAGCCGAGTGCTTCCCAACACAGCTGCAGCCGTAAGGGCTGGGTGGGGCGGCCGAGGGAGACCTTCCTGCCCCTGGTATCCAGGGGAATGGGAGCCCCGAATCCTGAGGATACCCCAGACCCCTGGCGCACAGCCTCGGTCCCTTGGGGTGGCCATCCTGCTGTCACCGCCTAGTCCCACCTCCTAGAAGCAGTGGCAGCAGGGACGGGTGGACACCGACCCAGGGTTGGTTTTTCGAGGGGCAGAGAGCCCCCACCTGCTGGTTCTCTCCCCAAACGCTCACAAGGGCTGGGTGAAGTAGGGGCCAGAGCTCAGTCCAGTGGCAGGAACCCAACACGGGCCATGGCCACTGCCTCCCAGGGCCTGCACCAGTGGGGAGCAGGAGGCAGGCATCCAATGCAAGGACGCCTGGACGCCTGGACGCCCTAACCACTAGGCTAACCACCCCTCCCCCTGCCGGAACGAATGGATGCTACTGCACCCCCACCCCCGGGAGTCACCCTGGGAGTGACAAGACAGATCCCGGCCTCCATCAGCCGCAGCACGTGCTGTGGTGCACACGCCCCAGCGGGGACGTGGTCAGCCCCAGAGGAGCCCAGAGCACCGACACACACCCCGAAGCGCCCACCGCCCCATGAAGGGGGCTCTGCGTCCTGGGGGCCCGGCCTCCTCCCGCCGTCCTCGCTGGCCGCCGCGCGGGGCGCGTTCGGGCTCAGGGCCCCGGGAGCAGGTCCACGCCTGGCCGAGGACCTCGCGGGCGGCCCCGGGCGAAGCCCCGCCCCTCCAGCCCCGCCCCAGGCGAAGCCCCGCCCCCGGCGAAGCCCAGCCCCGCCCCCGGAGCAGCGCCCGCCGGCTCCTTTAAGGCGGCGCGCGGCGGAGAGGCGCCGGTTTCGCCCCCTCCGACGCCAGCGAGGTAGCAGCTTCACCTTTAAGGCGGCGCGGGGACTGCTGGGAAAGCCGGCGGGATGGAGGCTGCGGGGCCGGCTCCTGGCTGCGGGTCCCGGTAAAGCGCGGCGGGAGCCGAACCAGAGCGGCAGCCGGGCCCGAGCAGGAGGCAAGGTCGGCGCGGGCCGACCGGCCGAGAGAGGGGCTCCGGCTTCCCAGGGGAGGGCGCCGCGGACCGGCCTGGGGGAGGGGTCGTCGTGGGCGCGGCCTGTGGGAGGAGCGGGCGGCCCACCGTGAGGGGCGCGGTCCCGGGGGCTCGGCCTGTGGGGGGGTCGGCCGCCGGGGGCTCGGCCTGGTGGGGGGGGGTCGGCCGGCCTGCGGGAGTCGGGACCCCTGGACCAGCGGTTCAGCGGGCTCGGCCTGCCTGTTGGGGAGTGGGCTGCCGGGGGCCTGGGGCTCCCGCACGGGAGTGAAGCCCCCACCGCGACCCCCGTCGCGCGTGTCGCTGCGCCCTACCCTAAGGGGGTCTTCTGGGAAGCCCGGAGCCTGGGCCGCCCAAGCCGGGGGTCCGGCCTCGCCGCCGGCCACACCGCATTGCGTCTCCCCGGCCGACACGGGCCGGGCGCGCCCCCTGTAGGCTGAGCGCGGGCCGCGAGAGGGCCGTGGGCCGGGGGCCCAGGGCGCCCCCCGGGACCCAGGCGTCCGGGGACCGCCGGTGCTTACCTAACCCGCGGGGGACGGCGGTGTGGCCGCAGGCCCGGCGCCCGCCCGCCCGCCCCGCACCTCCCCAGGCGGCGCGACCATGGCCACGATGGTGATCCCGCGGGAGGAGAAGCTGAGCCAGGACGAGATCGTGCTGGGCACCAAGGCCGTCATCCAGGGACTCGAGACCCTGCGCGGGGAGCACCGCGCGCTGCTGGCGCCCCTGGCCGCGCCCGAGGCCGGCGAGGCCGAGCCCGGCTCGCAGGAGCGCTGCGTCCTGCTGCGCCGCTCGCTGGAGGCCATCGAGCTGGGGCTGGGGGAGGCACAGGTAGGTGGCCGCGCGGGGCGGGGCCCGGAAATATCCGCTGGGGAGAGGAGTACTTTGGAGACCCCAGCCCCTCCCCCAGGACACCCTGGTCACCGCCCCCCCCCTCCCCCCCAGTTCCGATCCTGGCTCCCCTCTAGCCAACAGACTGGGCAGGAAGGGAGAAGGAGACCGTGGCGCTCATTGACAGGTTAACCAAGTGCCCCTGCTGGGCCAGGCCCTGTGTGGGACTGGGCAGGGTCCCCCACATCCCTGCCCAGTCCCACAGGGCAGCCGGAAACACAGATGCGGGCAATTGTATCCAATCCGTGGGGAGCTTTCAAAGACCGGGGTCGGTGGCAGCTTGTAGTCCTGGTCAAACACGATTCCCCGGGGCCTAGCAAGACCAGTGTCCAGCAAGGGGAGGGAGGGGCAGCATGTGCAGGGTCCTGAGGTCAGAAAGACCCCCCGGGGTGGGGCGGGGCGGGGGAGGAGCCAGAGTCTCAGGCTCAGGCCTGTGCAGGGTTGGACGGCGTGTGGAGCTGAGACGCAGGGAGTGAAGCGCGGGTCCGAGTAGGAGCAGGTAGCCAGTGGTGAGGAGGCCAGCGCTGGCCCTCCGCTGGGAGATGGCCACGAGCGCCGAGACCAGCGCCAGGACAGGGTCCACGAGCGCATTTGAGAGTCTGGGGGCTCAGGGGTTCTCTCTCCGCCTCCCAGAGGGGGCTCCGGGCAGACGCGGGCTGCCGAGGCCTGTGCGCCCTCCGCCACCCTGGGCAGGCTGTGTCACCTTGGCCCCGTGTCTGCTACCAGGCTGCTCAGGGAGCTTGTCTGAAGCGAGCGGCTGTGAAGACGCCTGGCCCCCCTTTGCTGTCCTGCACGGCCTGGCCTTCTCGGGGGGCCACGTGGTGTTGGCTCATCCCCTGCCAGTTGGCTGTCAGGTCGGAGATGACCACGGGGGCCTAACTCCTGGCGGTGCACACAGGGACAGGACGGCGCAGAGGACGTGGGCACCGAGACTGGGTGGGGCTGAAGCCAGGGGCAGGCGGGACCGGGAAGAGGGGCCTCTCTGCAGAAAAACCCTGGACCGTGAAGGCTGGAGAAAGGAGCGGGAGCCGAGGCCAGGGCCCCAGGCGACACGAGCCTGGGAGCTCAGAGCTGGGGAGGGGACAGCGTCAGACGGAGGCCCGGATGGAGAGGGGACAGCATCAGATGGAGGCCCGGATGGAGAGGGGACAGCGTCAGATGGAGGCCTGGCTGGGAGGGGACGGCGTCAGACAGAGGCCTGGCTGGGGAGGGGACAGCGTCAGACAGAGGCCCGGATGGAGAGGGGACAGCATGAGACGAAGGCCTGGATGGACAGAGGGGACAGCGTCAGACGGAGGCCTGGATGGAGAGGGGACGGCGTCAGACGGAGGCCTGGGTGGAGAGGGGACAGCGTCAGATGGAGGCCTGGCTGGGGAGGGGACAGCGTCAGACGGAGGCCTGGCTGGGGAGGGGACAGCGTCAGACGGAGGCCTGGATGGAGAGGGGACAGCGTCAGATGGAGGCCTGGATGGAGAGGGGACAGCGTCAGATGGAGGCCTGGCTGGGGAGGGGACGGTGTGAGATGGAGGCCTGGATGGAGAGAGGGGACAGCGTCAGATGGAGGCCTGGATGGAGAGAGGGGACAGCGTCAGACGGAGGCCTGGGTGGGGAGGGGACGGCGTCAGATGGGGGCCTCTGCCAAGGTGCCGCAGGCCCCCGCGGCGTTGGGACGTGCTGCCCTCCCCTACCTGGGCGCCCCAGAAAGCAGGGGCCGCTGTGGACGCACAGCACAAGCCAGGATGGCCTTCAGCATCTCAGGGTTCTTTGGCCACTGCTGGCCCTGGGCAGGGACGCTGCGACCCTCGAGAGAGATGGACGGTCACTCGGGAGCACGGCACCCGGCCAGCCCTCCTCCAGGGTCCTCCTGACCCCAGAAGGAAGCAGTCAGGGACCCCCCACCTCCTGCGTTTGAGCCTTGGACTGGGATTGTTTGGGGTGTCGAGGGGAAGCTCCTTGAGGGTGGGAGACCCAAGGCCCGAGGCCCCGCAGCTCCGGCCGGGCAGAACCAGGCCCGGTGCTTCCTGGAGAGCCGCGCTGACGCCTGTCCCGGCCGCCTGCACAGGTGATCCTGGCGCTGTCGAGCCACCTGGGGGCCGTGGAGTCGGAGAAGCAGAAGCTGCGGGCTCAGGTGCGGCGCCTGGTGCAGGAGAACCAGTGGCTGCGGGAGGAGCTGGCGGGGACGCAGCAGAAGCTGCAGCGCAGTGAGCAGGCCGTGGCCCAGCTGGAGGAGGAGAAGCAGCACCTGCTGTTCATGAGCCAGATCCGCAAGCTGGACGAGGACGCCGCGCCCAGCGTGAGCCCCGCGGGGAGGGGAGCACGGAGCCCCCGCGCCCGCCCCGCCCCGCCCTCACACGCTGTCTGCCCCCCAGGAGGAGAAGGGGGATGCCCCCAAAGACTCTCTGGACGACCTGTTCCCCAACGAGGACGAGCAGAGCCCGGGTGCGCGTGGGCAGTGGCTCTGCATGAACTCCTGGGCCGCGGGACCCCGAGGGCACAGGGAGCAGGGCCGAGCAGCCAGGGTCTTTCCTGCCTCTCTCTGACTGGCGTGTCCCAGCGTGCTGGAGCTCCCGGGGTGGGGGGGGTCTCCACGGTGCCCCTCTCTCCCTGCTGGAGTTCCTGGGAGGGGGTCTCATGGTGCCCCTCTCTCCCTGCTGGAGCTCCCGGGGGGGTCTCCACGGTGCCCCTCTCTCCCTGCTGGAGTTCCTGGGGGGGGGTCTCCACGGTCTGCTGGAGCTCCCGGGGGGGTGGGGGTCTCCACAGTGCTCCCCTCTCCCTGCTGGAGCTCCCGGGGGTGGGGGTCTCCACAGTGCTCCCCTCTCCCTGCTGGAGCTCCCGGGGGTGGGGGTCTCCACAGTGCTCCCCTCTACCTGCTGGAGATCCTGGCGGTTGGGGGCCTCCACAGTGCCCCTCTCTCCCTGTTGGAGCTCCTGGGGGGTGGGGGTCCCCACAGTGCTCCCCTCTCCCTGCCTCCCGGCCCCCGCCCCTCTGAGGAGTACACATCCAGGTAAAAGCGCTGCAGAGCCAGGCCCGGCTTCCTGTCCTGCGGTGTGTGTCACCAGCCCCTGTGTGCGTCCGGGAGTTCCCCCTCTCCCAGCCTGCTCTGTTTGGAGCACAGGTACTCAGCCGCTGTGGGCCAGGCCGCACGGGCTGTCTCCTGGCGCTGAGCACGCCGCAGGTGCAGACCTGAGGCTGAGAGGCTGGGCACTAGCGGTGGGACACACAGCTTCCGCCCAGTTTCCTGTGGGTAACCAGACCTACTCTCCAAATAGGGAAACTGAGGCAGAGTGGCTCGTGGCTTGCCCAGGGCCACGTGTCAGGTGGGGCAAAGCCATTGGCCATCCCGGCGGGCAGGTGGTACATCTGATCTGTCCTGACCCTGCAGCCCCCAGCCCTGGAGCAGGGGATGTGGCCACCCAGCATGGGGGCTATGAAATCCCGGCACGACTCCGCACGCTGCACAACCTGGTGATCCAGTACGCGTCGCAGGGCCGCTACGAGGTGGCCGTGCCGCTCTGCAAGCAGGCACTCGAGGACCTGGAGAAGACGTCGGGCCACGACCACCCTGACGTGGCCACCATGCTGAACATCCTGGCGCTGGTCTACCGGTGAGGGCCCAGGGTCCTGAGTGGGAGGCGGACGCCCTGCGAGGCGAGCTGCCCGGAGTGCCCGAGCGCCTGGAGGACAGGGGCTGCCCAGGCCCACTCCCGCGCAGCCTGGGGTTGGACGGTGATCCTGACCGTGCCCACCTGCTCCCAGGGACCAGAACAAGTACAAGGAGGCCGCCCACTTGCTCAATGACGCCCTGGCCATCCGTGAGAAGACCCTGGGCAAGGACCACCCCGCCGTGAGTGAGGGTCGGGTCAGGAGGGGCCGCCTCCCATCCCCTGCAGCTCCTGGGTCCCCGCGTCCCTGCCCAGCGGGGCCCTGGGTGAGGATCCTCCGTCCCCGCGCCTAGGTGGCCGCGACGTTGAACAACCTGGCAGTTCTCTACGGCAAGCGGGGCAAGTACAAGGAGGCCGAGCCGCTGTGCAAACGGGCGCTGGAGATCCGCGAGAAGGTGGGCGCAGGGCGCCGCGGGGCTGGCGAGCGGGGCAGGCAGGGGGCCCGCAGCCCCCGCCCAGCCGCCGGCTCCCTCCCCCCGCAGGTCCTGGGCAAGTTCCACCCCGACGTGGCGAAGCAGCTCAGCAACCTGGCCTTGCTGTGCCAGAACCAGGGCAAGGCGCAGGAGGTGGAGCACTACTACCGGCGGGCGCTGGAGATCTACGCCGCGCGCCTCGGGCCCGACGACCCCAACGTGGCCAAGACCAAGAACAACCTGGTGCCTCGGGCCGAGGGGCTGGCGGCCGGGCGGGGGCGGGGGCGGGGGCGGGGAGAGGGAGGAGCCTGGGCTCCCCCGCCCCCCGCCGCTCACACCGCCCGCACGCTCGGCCCCGCAGGCGTCCTGCTACCTGAAGCAGGGCAAGTACCAGGACGCCGAGACCCTGTACAAGGAGATCCTCACGCGCGCGCACGAGAAGGAGTTCGGCTCCGTCAATGGTGAGCCCCTGGCGTCCGGCCCTGGACGCCCTGTGCCCCGGGACACAAGCCCCGGCCACACGCCTGTGCCTCGCTCGTCCGTCCAGCGTCCGAGATGGGTGGAGTCTGTTTCCTGGCCGTTCGACAAAGCCCAGCCCGGTCCCCCGCAACCAGGAGAGGCCTGTGTGGCAGGCTGGTGACGGCGTCCTTTCTCCCCAGGGGACAACAAGCCCATCTGGATGCACGCAGAGGAGCGAGAGGAGAGCAAGGTAGATGCAGGCCGGGCGGGCAGGTGTCAGGGAGGGGTGAGGCTGCGCGTGGGAGGAGCCTTCTCCCACCTCCCTGGCCTGCCTTCCCACAGGATAAGCGCCGGGACAGCGCCCCCTACGGGGAGTACGGCAGCTGGTACAAGGCCTGTAAAGTGGACAGGTGAGGGGCCGGGGCCGGCCGGGCGGGGCTGCTGGTGGAGTTGGTGGCAGCGGAATGGCATTGGGTCACCCTGAAACCGCTCCTCTCTGCCGGCTCCCCTGTCCCAGGGAGGTTTTCTGCACTGGCCGCCTGTCTCGCCCCGGGTCCTGCAGCTTCCGCAGCCCGTGGCAGCGTCCCACGAGGGCCCTGGGGTCAGGACAGCTCTGGGGTGACTCCCTGAGGACCGCAGAAGCCGGGGGGCCTAGCACAAAGCTCGCCACCCAGCGGGGGCTAGTGTGGGCTGGGTGCCGGGGGCCTGGGTTCAGGGAACACGGAGTCTGAGGTGTCCGGCCACCCCACCGCAGCCCCACGGTCAACACCACCCTGCGCAGCTTGGGAGCCCTGTACCGGCGCCAGGGCAAGCTGGAGGCCGCACACACGCTGGAGGACTGTGCCGACCGCAGCCGCAAGCAGGTGGGGCTCCTCGCGAGGGCGGACAGGCGCGTGGGCCTGCGTCTTCCAGCCGGGGCCTGATGCCCCCTGCCCCTCCCCCAGGGCCTGGACCCCGCGAGCCAGACCAAGGTGGTGGAGCTGCTGAAAGACGGCGGTAGCGGGCGGGGAGACCGCCGCGGCCGGGATGTGGCCGGGGGGGCCGGGCCTCGCGCGGAGTCGGACCTCGAGGAGGCAGGGCCTGCGGCCGAGTGGAGCGGGGTGAGTCTGGGGCTGGGGGGCCGGGAGCCGGCGCAGCCGGCGCAGCCTGGAGACAGCCTGGTGCTGTGCCGCAGGACGGCAGCGGCTCCCTGCGGCGCAGCGGCTCCTTCGGGAAGCTCCGCGAAGCCCTGAGACGCAGCAGCGAGATGCTGGTGAAGAAGCTGCAGGGGGGTGGCCCCCAGGAACCGCCCAACCCCAGGTGAGCCCCTAACCGAGCGAGCCCCTCAGGACCACCCTGCTAAGCCCCTTGAGCCCCTGCCACCCGCCCAGGCCCCACCCCCGGCGCCAGGGCGGCTCCCCTCCCCCACCCTGCCCCAGCTCCCCCGCAGACCAGGGCGCCCTCTTCCCTCAGGATGAAGCGGGCCAGCTCCCTCAACTTCCTCAACAAGAGCGTGGAGGAGCCAGCCCAGGTAGGGGCGGGTGGCCGTCTGTGCCCCGGGCGCGTCCCTGCCCGCCTGCTCGGGCCTGTGCGACGGTGGGCCAGCGTGCACGCAGCCCTGACCCCGCAGGAGCTCACCAGGGCCCCCTCTGTCCGCAGCCTGGCGGCGCGGGGCTCTCTGACAGCCGCACCCTCAGCTCCAGTTCCATGGACCTCTCCCGACGCAGCTCCCTCGTGGGCTAAGCCTGAAGGGGCAGCCAGTTGCCAGAGCCGCCCCCCCGGCACAGCCCCAGCGCTCGCATGGGCCCGCTGCTCGTCCCGCCTGCCCAGCCCCAGGACCCCTGTCTTTTCTGTTCAATCTCAGGGTAACCTCCCCGCGTCGTCCCAGCCTGAGCCCTGGAGGCCGGCCTGGCTGCCCAGCGCTGCCCCGTATTTATTCTCTCCAGCAGAGCCCCTTGCCAGGCCCGTGGGAGGGGCTGGCTGCTCGCCCCGCCCAGATCCGGAGCCCGGAACACTAAGCCCCGCCCTCCCCCGGCCGTTGCTTCTGTATATAGAGAAATAAGTTATTGGCCGCGCCCCTGCCCTCCGTCCCGGTACTCCCGGCCCTCCTCTAGTGGTACCGCCCAGGCCTTAATCACCCCCATCGCGCGCGGAGTATCTCCCGCGAGCGGCGCCGCCCCGCAGGGCTCCCTCACCTGCTCCCGGCCTCCAGGGGACGCCACCAGCTCGCCATCGCCCGGTGTCCCGGGACGGAGAGCCCGGAGCCCTCCTCGCCCGCCGGCCCCGCGCCGCGCCCGGCCTTATGCACTGCCCCGCCGGGGCGCCGCCTCCGCGCCTGCAGCTTCCCGCCGGGGCCGGAGGGCTCCCCAGCTGGGGTGGGGTGAGGCGGTCGCGCCATTTTCAGATGTAACTGGAGAAATAAAGACGTTTGAATCTGTGCTGGGCTTGTTTTGAGACGGAGGCCGCGGGTGCCCCAGGCTGGGATGGGTGGGAGAGGCTGCGCGTGTCTCCCACGGGGGCCAGGCCCTCTGCCCCAGCCCAGTTGTGGGGGGCGCTGCTCGGCTCGGGGTTTCTTCGAGAGCCTTCGCTCCTTCGCCCCAGACGGCCCGGTCTTTAACGAGATCGGCCGTCCTCGGGTTTGACCTTGAGCGAGTTTCCCGAGCCCCGGTTTTTTTTTTCCACCTATAAAACTAGTGTGAGGACATCCTCCTGGGCCCGTGGCTGTGCGTGAGGAGCTCTGACTAGTGCATGACCGGCGCCACCTTCCCACGCAGAGCTCCCAACCTGGGAGCCGAAGAGGGAGAAGGCGGGTGCGCCAGCCCGAGCCGTCCTCGGCCCGCGGCTACCAGGAAGCGGACTACAAGCTCCAGAAGGCAGTGCGCGGCAGGACAGGCGTGGGCTCGCAGCGACGCCTGCGCCGTGGGGGGTGGCGAGTCGGGCACCGTGGGGGACTACAAGTTCCAGTAAGCAGCGCGGCGAGGCCCCTGTCGGGACCGTGTGCGCCTGCGCGTCGCGGGCGGGGCCTCAGGGGCGGAGCGGCCACCATCTTGGAACGGGAGGCGGAGCAGAGCCGACTGGGAGCGACCGAGCGGGCCGCCGCCGCCGCCATGAACCCCGAATAGTGAGTGAGCCCCGCCCGCGCCGTCTGGCGCAGCCTCGGTCCCGAGTACGGGGCTGTACGCGTTCCGGAGTTGTCTGGCCCGGGTCAGGACTGTGCGGCGCCCCCACATCCGGGTCCCTCTACCACTGACACCCCCCCCCACACACATACACACATCCGGGTCCCGCCCCTCCCCCCGGGGGCCCAGGACCCCGTCTTGACACCCCCGAGTCCTCGAAGCGGGGGCCCGAAGCGGCAGCCCCAAGGGCAGCGCTGGGAGCCGCGCGGCCGGCGCGCAGGCCTCCGCGGTCAGGTGACCCGGCAGCCCCGGCGTCCCCAGGCCTCAGTTTCCCCGGCTGTGCGGAGCCTGTCACGCCGGTTTCTGGGTTCAGACTCGGCTCTTTTGGGTCGGGCTCTTGGCGAAGAAGAGCAGCGCCTGGGGTGTGGAGCTTGGCGGAGAGGGGGCTCAGAGCCCTGGAGGCAAGCGAGAAGCGAAGTCGATTAAGCCCCGCAAAAGTGCGCTCGGGCGGGATCCGAGCGGCCCAGCCCCTGGGCGCGGGGCGGTGGTCCTCCGTCGTCTGTCTGAACCGAGAGGTGCGGCTCCCGGAGGATGGGCAGGGGGCTGCCCGGGAAGGCGGGGCGCGGGCTGTCCCGGCGGAGTCGGGATTCCGGCGTGGTGGAGGAATTCCTGGAAAGCGTGGGGAGCCCGTGTGAGCCCCCTGCGGCCGTGAGGATTTCGAAGGTGGCTCGGAAGGCCGGCTTCCACGTTGTCTCTGCGGCCCCTGGAGTGCAGGTGTGCCAGCCCTGGGGCCCTGCCCGCGCCCGCCTCCCGGTCTGGGGCCGAGGCTGGCCAGGCGCAGGGCCCGGGGCGGCGCTTGGTCCCGTCTCCCGCGCCTCGCGCTCGCGGGGTCTCCCGCGCCTCGTCCCGCCTTTGCCACCCTGCTTTCGCTGTCCCGCTGCTGCCGGGCCCGGGCGCCGTGGCGCGGCCTTTGCCTCGCGGCGCCGGCTCTGGGCCTCGCTGCCGGCTCGGCTCTGCACTCGGACTTCCCCGCGGTGCGCTCTGCTTCCTCTCTGCCGCTTCCCTCTTCTGCCCCAGCTGGAGGCTGCAGGTTTCCCCGGGCAGCGCCCCCCGGGCCGCGGTGCGGGGTGGGTGAGACCCCGCCTTGGGGCCCCCTCGCAGCTCAGTCTCCTCCCTGGCCTGGGGTCTCTTCGTGGCGACTTCAGCTGTGCGCGCAGCTTTGTCACTGAGCAGGTTCTGGGCTGAGCTCAGCTTTCCCTCTGGGGCCTGCCCTGCCAAGCCACTGGACGGGCCGGGAAGGTCTGGAGTCCTGGGAAAAGTCCCAGCGGCGGCACCGGGCTCTGGTTCACAGCATCCCGCCCTTCAGCGCCCGGCGCCCTGTCGCGTCCAGGGCAGCGCTCCCCCAGCCAGGCCTGGCGGGAGATCTGGGGGGCCGCGGCCGCGAGCCCAGGGTGGCAGCAGTGCGCTGCCTGCCCTCACACTCTCTCTTCTCTTCCCAGTGACTACCTGTTTAAGCTGCTTTTGATCGGCGACTCGGGCGTGGGCAAGTCGTGCCTACTCCTGCGGTTTGCTGTGAGTAGAAGCTCCCGTCCCCCAGCCTGGGGTCCCAGCTGGCAGCGGGGGGAAGGGCCCCCCAGAGCACAGTGGCTGCGAGACCTGGGGACCCAGGGTGAAGTCGTGGGACCCACCAGTCACACATCAGACTAAATGGCACAGGGCCCAAACGTTGGGGTGCTGAGAACTGGGGCTCCCCTGTGCCCCACTGGGGCCCCGTGGCTGAGGCGCTGCGCTGGCCCCGGCCCTAGGATGACACGTACACGGAGAGCTACATCAGCACCATCGGGGTGGACTTCAAGATCCGCACCATCGAGCTGGACGGCAAGACCATCAAACTCCAGATCGTGAGTGTCGCCCGAGGGCCCCGGGGAGGGGGCTGCGGCCTGGGCCGCGGGCCGACTGTGCTGCTCGCTTGTCTGCAGTGGGACACAGCCGGCCAGGAGCGGTTCCGGACCATCACCTCCAGCTACTACCGGGGGGCCCACGGCATCATCGTGGTGTATGACGTCACCGACCAGGTACTCCGGGGCTCCCTGTCGCCAGCTGTGCCTCCCTGCCTTAGTCCGAGATTCGCACGTCATCCTGGCCTCTGCCCTGACAGGGGACTGACTGTGTGCAGGCTCACGTGCAGGGAGGCCAGCCTTCCAGAACCCTGATGCAGGGGCTCGGTGGGACCAGGCCGCAGCTTCCCCTCCGCGCCAGACTCGCCCCTCGGGGTTTTAGTCAGCTGGGTGGCCGCGGTGCTGGACCTGTGGCTTCCTGTGTGAGACAGGGGCGGCACTTGGAGGGCCCTTGACCAGGAGGCCCGGGAGCCCGGTGTGAGCAAGAGCCCAGGCTGTGCGTCTGCTCTCACGCCGCTGGCAGCAGCCGGAGACGGTCTGTCCCCTTGCGACACTCATGCGAGGGCTGTGTCCCAGGAGGCCGTGGGCTCAGGACGGCGGGGGCCCTGGGCGAGTCCTCCAGCTTGTGGAGGGCAGGGGCAGGAAGCGCAGTCTTTCCCTCCCCCCCCGCCCCAAACCTGCCGCTGCGTGGGGTCCAGCCCCAGGCGGAAGGGGTCCCTGCTCCCAAGGGCAGCTGCTCTTTTTTTAAGACTTATTTATTTATTTATTTGAAAGACAAAGTTGGCAGAGAGAGAGAGGTTTTCCATCCGCTGGTTCACTCCCCAGATGGCCGCAATGGTAGGAGCTGTGCTGATCCGAAGCCAGGAGCCAGGAGCTTCTTCTGGGTCTCCCTTGTGGGTGCAGGGGCCCAAGGACTTGGGTCATCTTCCAGTGCTTTCCTGGGTCATAGCAGAGAGCTGGATCAGAAGTAGAGCAGCCGGGTCTCGAACCAGCGGCCATTTGGGATGCCGGCACTGCAGGCGGCGGCTTTACCCTTACGCCACCACGCCAGCGCTGGGCTCTGGCAGCAGCCGCTTCTGAGCTTGCCACCTGCCTGGTTCTGGACAGCAGGCTGGGTGAGCCGTGTGCCACTCCTGCCCTCTGACTCCACCCTCCTCTCCCCCCGGGGAGGTCGGTGTCCCCAGTGTCCCGTGAGGGCTTCTGACTCGGGGGCTCTTCGCTGGCTCACACGGTGCTTTCCCCACGGCCCCCCCTTGTGCCTCCCAGCTCAGCCCCAGGCCTCCACCTCACCCCTCCCTGCATGCTTCTGGCCCCTTCCGTGGTCGCGCTGCTTCCCGTGGGCTGTGCCGGCGTCGCGTGGCCCCTGCGTGTCTGGGTCTGCGTTCGCCCGTGCACTCGCCGCTGGGGTCCGGGTTTTGCGCACGAGGAACCTGCCTGCAGAGGCCCAAGTGGCTTTGCCTGCACTCGCGGTCAGCCAGGGCGAAGCCGTGTTGGGACCCAGGGCTCTGCCTTTCGGGCAGCCCCTTTCCTGCCCACAGGCAGCCTCTCCCGAGCCCCACCCTGGCCTCGCCAGCTCCTCCAACCCCATCCTCGTAGCCAGATCCCTGCTGGCCTGACCAGGAGACTTCCCTCCCCCACGCAGCCAGTCCCAGGCCCCTCATAATGGCGCTGATGAGGATAATAGCCGCTCTGGCTAATGAAGCGCTTGTCACACAGGGCCGCGTCCCCGCGTCTCTCCTGCTGACAGCGGCCCTGCTGGGAGGTCCCATGCAGACGGAACCTCCCGGAACCTGAGGCCCGGAGGGGGCGGGTGGTCTCCCAGAGACCCGGAGGGACGGATTGAGACGCACTTCAGCCAGCACAGCCTGGCTCTGAGCCTGTGCGCCTAGCACCGCGCTCCCTGGCTAAGGGCCCCTCGTCCCGGCCCTGGGTTAACCCAGGCACCCTCAGCTGCTGACCGTCTCGGCGTAGCTGCGGGCACTCTTTCCAGAACGCAGGTGTGAGTGGTCCTGCTGCTCCTGACTGTCCGAGACCTGGCCGGGCTGAGGCTCCTGATGTCCTGGGTGGCCCCTCGCCCCGGCCAGGGCCTGCCTCCCAGCAACATCCAGCGTCTCCCCTCCCCACAGAGTCCTGCTCTGTGACCTGGCACGCGCTGTCTCCCAGCCTGCACCTTGGCTGCGCAAGGCCAGGGCCGCTGAGGCAGAGGTGGTCCCGCGGTCCCCTGGCCCTGCGTGCTAGACGGCCTTGCCGTCGCGTGCGTCCTGACCTGCCCCTCCATGTGCTGGATGCTGTCGGGCAGCGACCAGCACAGGGCCCAGTTCGGGACACGGCGGGAAGCGTACGTGTGACCCAATGTGATGTCACCAGGCCTCTGACCCCAGGGAAGGAACAGTGGCCGGGGCTGGAGCGCTGTCCTCAGAT